ACATTTCCTCAATTACCCATACTCTGAGATCCAACAAGAGAGTCATCTCTGGGTTCCATCCATAAGAGAGTGCCATCTAGCAGGACACAGGAGGAAGTACTTTTCTGCCATGGAGCCCATGTTTTAGAATATTTCCCTCTCCTCGTTGGTCACAAGGCATTAAAAACTTGCCTTTACTATCAAGTCTGGGTTCCTAATTCTGTGGATGAGCCTGCTGTCTGGTTATACTGATTGTGCAGTGTTTGATTATTCTCAGCTGTTATTTTATGGTGTCTAATGTTATTTATGTTTTAATTATTGGCTATGTTTTTATTTTGTTTTATTAGCTGCCTAGAAACATGCGTATGAGATGGCTGATCATATAAATATATTAAACAAATAAATAAACTAAAACTTGCTATGCTGTGTGGTCAAACAGTAAGGTTTCATTTCAATTTCGGAAAGAAAACAATTTTTAACTTATCATTGTATGTTTGCTACTAGAGAATTTAGGACTGAGAAATCCCCAGGATGTAATTAGTCTCAAACATGCTGTCCATGTGCTCTTCCACTTTCAGCAAACTGATTTAGAAAGTGACAAATACATAATATGTCACACCAATACTATAATCACAGAATAATCACTTATCATCTTTATGATTCACAAACCTCTTTAGGAAACTGACATCCATCTAATTTACAATGTTGGTTCAAGATATAAAAATGAATCACACAGTGTATTTTTATCATTGGGCAATAATTTCTAGACTATATTTTATTTAGCACTGAAAAAAAAGGAAGATTTATATCTAAGAAATATTAGCTTTTAACACATTAAGAATTGAAACTGACTGTAGAGCCTTTGGGAAGTTGTCTGTTCTTTATAAAATGCCATATAAATAAGATAGCGAGAAATAATATGACAATTTATTTGAAGTAAATATAACTATAATTTCCCACTTTCCTCTTATTCTGAAAGAATGGACACTATGTCAATGCAACTCACCTTTTATAAAAATGGAATCGCTCTGTGATAATTAGAAATTGTTTTTCTCCACTTAGGAATAAATGCCTTGCCCTACAAATGCCAGATTTACTGGAGTATTCACAAATGTGTGCAAAATTGAGTTCTTCCTTCTTGAAATAATTCCGAAGCCGCACATAATCAAAATAGGATGGAACATAGATGAGTGTGTGTGTCATGATTGCATCCCGATACTCAGGTAACACTTTGTCAATGAAAAAGTTAAACCTGATCAAGAAATACAAATGATAAACTGGTTGGTTTCAAAATTTAACTTCCCAACTTCTAATTCATATGTAATTTTCAGAATTCTCAGCTGGAAGTACCAAGGCAAATCTCAATTTAACTGGAAGGCATCAGACTGGAGAAAAAGCAGATCAAATATGGAACAAATGCCAAATATTTTAGTCTCCACTTATTGTTATACATCAGGCCTCTCACTTTTTCTCAAATGCAGTGCCATATATTTTGTCAAGCAGGATCAGGAAATTAAAACTTCAAGAGGTAACTGGGCAGAAAAAAATGCTCTGGTATAGGGGAATTCTGTTCAGGTTTCCTCCCATTCCCCAAATTGCATCAATTGGCATTCATTGTCCACTATGCAAGCCCCATTCTCATGAGTTCTGAAGGCAGAGGGATCACACTTTAGAACTTTTTAAATAGGTTGTTTTTACTACTGCAAAATTGAAAACTCCATCCCCCACCCCACCCCCATATCTGCTAACACCCTCTTCAATATGTGAATGGCCTATTTTTTTGTGTTAGAAATCGTTCTTCCTGTACAGGACAATTTATTATTATGTAGCCTAGCAGCATTCAATGCAAGCAATCCAGACCTTTATATTATACAACATAACAATTATATTTTAAAGCATCAATATTTTCTTGCACAGTACACTCCAGCAAATGTGTAGCTGCTATCCATTGCTCAGAGCATTAAAGAAGTACATACCTCGCATCTATTACAGAGACAGAGCTGTCAGCTTCTAGCTTCCGAAAAACATGAGGAAGCTGTACTACAACATGACTAATTGACCCTGTCAAGGGTACGATCCTTACAGCTACCTGCAAGACACAATTGAATCTGTGAGATAAAAGTAACATTAGATTGGAATGTTACATCCAAATATTCGGTCAAGAAAATAAGAAATGGTTTGATAGAATAATCTAATTTAGAAACTGGCATCTAACAATGACTTGTTAGATCTCTTAGAAGCAAGCCAGCAAGATATGGTAAGGCTGATAGCCAGTTATCTGGTATTAAGGTTTACTACTGCTTATGAACATGGGAGTCTTTACTGAATTGCCATTAATATTAATTACTAAGTATTTATAATTCTCTGAGAATTTGTCAAATCTCTTTACAACCTTTTCAACTAGAGTGTAATGGTGAAGTATAGCATTCAAAAAACAGATCAATAATTATCTACTAGGTGGGAACTATAGGAACTGATGTCATTCACATCTGAAGATCATGAGGTAGGAAATACTGCTTTACATAATCCTCAATAGTAGGCATGGCTTCAGATTTTGTTACTTCTCCCTCCTAAGATAAGAGGAAAGAGATTTTCTTTGCAAACATTTCTATTTTGCTTGCAGTACTAAACTACTTGAAATATTATAGTAGTTAATGTTTTTTACATCTCTATTTAGCAGCTATTTTTCCACTGAGAAGATGCCAAAACAAATAAGTTATGTTGCGCAACATGTAAATGGAAATTATTGTTCTCAGATGTGGTGACAGCAATCAATTTAGTTGGTGTTAAAAAGAGTTCTGATCAAATCAGGAAGAAATGATCTACTGTATATCATCAATCAGCACAGTGGCATTTGTTGAATATCAGACGTAGGGAGTAATGAAGAAAGTGGGCTATCACATATTTTATTCCTATGTGTGATCTGGCTGAATGTATATGAGTTACCATTATGGGATACAGAAATTCAATAGCAGGGCTCTTCCTGGACTCCCACAGCAAGCTGCTGCCACGTCTCATAACTGCTTTTCTCTCCACAGATACTTTTGTTCTCTCCATTTGCCAAATTTAGGTGGAAAAGTGTAAATATGGTTGTCCTTGTAGAATAATTATTTAATCTCAAGGGCACTACTTGTGATCCTTATTTTACACAAAGGTTTGTTTTATACAAGAAAGTTGGGATGTTGAACCAGAATATTTGTGCTAAGAGAGGATACATAAAACCTACATACAATATCTCTTTTATAGATAGTAAATCATAAACATCACAAAATTCAGTATCGGTTTAACAACACTAAATAAAAGTAGCAATTCACAGAAAGTTCAGATTGTTTGGGAACATTAAACCACGTGAATACAATGCACACAAGTTTCTGCAGTTTTCTTGGCAAGTTTTCAGAAGTGGCTTGCGATTGTTTTTTTCCTAGATTGACTGGCCCAAGATCACCCAACTGGCTTTGTCCCTATGGAGGGACTAGAATTCATGGACATCCATTTCTAGCCTGGTGTCTTTTATCCACTACACCAAACAAGGTTTCAGAAAGTTTTATACTGGTCTGAACATTTCTACTTCCACTTTTAACACCATTTTACTTAATGGTTATAATGAGAGCCCAACTTATACTCTTCCAAACACTTCAATGGCTACTGTTACATCAGTGAACTAACCTGCCCCCTGTAATTGAAGCAATGCTTATTGAAGATAGAACTGATCTGAGGATGATGGAGGGCACTGAAGAGAAGTGTCTGCCGATAATACTTGGACCAATTATTCAGACTGAACATTCGTACTCGTGAAAAATCCACCCCATGAGATTCCAAAGGTAATAGATTCATGTGGTTAATCAGGTGCTGCAAGCAGAATAATGGTTAAAACATAGTAAGATTATTGTTCTATTTCAGTGTACAGAAAAAGGAAAATGAAGAATCTCTCCCAAAGTCCATGTATTGCATGAAAGAGAAAAACAATCTGAATAGTTGTTTGGCACATTAAACCAGATAAGCACAACAACTGCTTTGATGGTTTAGACTTCACCTACTACTGCAAAATGTTTTAATTTTTTTTTCCAGACTTCACTTAATCAACACTGAAGATGGCATCTAAAACTTTAAAGACATCTATTTCTACAAAATACGCTAGTGTCCACAGTAGTGTTTCTCAACGTTGGCAATTTTTAAGATATGTGGATTTCAACTTCCATAATTCCTCAGATAGCTAGAAACACTAGCCTACATAAACATGATTTATGTTAATGCAGTTTTGGAAAGCGTAACAAAATACATTTTAGCTGGTGCTATTGATCCTCAACCAATCAACAAAAAAACAATCTAGAGTAAATACGGAGAGTAAAAAGCTTTTTCTATTTTTCCATGTTTCCTATGATTTTCAGCAGTATTGTGCAGACCTCCTCTCAGTCCCCCATGAAACCACTCCCTATAATTTTCTAGCACCAAAGCTTTCAGCAATGCTTATGATTACGAATATATACATTTTCAGAAAAATATTAAGGTGCATTTCATTCAAACGAAAAACAGTTAAAGATCTAAAATCTAGCCTCTGTGTGAGGCATTTCACATCTGGTTGTTATAGTTACACAGCATATTCTGGTTTTAAAAAAGTGAAAAGGGATTACCAAAACATGTTCCCAGTTTTGCATCAGGTAAATGTCAGCTTCATCAATTATAAGAATTTCTATTGAGGAGAGGAAATCATAGTCTCGCTTGTTCTCCCCTTCAGCTCCTATCACTGTTCTCAAGCCAAGGGGAGACGCAATGATAATGTCCGAGGAGTAAAACGGGGCATACAACCGCATGCTCTTCTGAAAAACCGCAACACCTGTTCAGATGCAATACAAACATATCAGCCAGTCTCTGATTATATATTTAACCACAGGATTCTTCCCTACAATATCCCATAAGAGTTAAGGCAAATTTCTGCATTTTGTGATGGGCAAAAGGGACTCCAAGAAGCTACCATAGGAACAGGCAATCTGAGGCCCTCCGAACATTCTGGAACAATTCCTATCTACACTGGTCAGAATGGCCTAATGAACTGAGGAAAGTATGTAAAATATCTGGAAGGTATCAGGTTATGAATCCAGTCCTCAAGAAGCTACTGATTTATCCAATTAATGCCCCTTTAGGAATTTTACAGTGGATGAGCCATCTTTAAGGCAAAATGTTAAAATGAAGGTTATAATGAAACCCTTTTAAGAATGACACAAAGCTACCCTTTTCCCCTAAAATAAGACATCCCCTGATAAGCCCAATCGGGCTTTTGAGCACATACACTAAAATAACACACACCCCTGAAAATAAACTCCCAAAAATATTTAAACCCATGTGCAGCCAGCCCCCGCCATTTCCTCTGGTTTCCTCCATGCGCCCCAAAATAATAAGACCTCCCCAAAAATAAGGCCAAGTGCTTATTTCAGGGTTCAAAAAATATAAGACAGGGTCTTATTTTTGGGGAAATGCGGTAGATTCAAAGATTACTCCCTCAGAAAAATCCAACAAAAGAAAAAAAAACTGGATGTATTCAAACATTATTTTAAACCATAATAAAAGAAGTTGGTGCATGCCAGTCATTCCTCAAATAACTCAGTTATTTGAACCTGAGATCAGAAACCAGATTTCTAAAATCTTGTTTAAAATTACCTATGAATCTTGGCTTATATATTATTTATTAACATTTAACCAGATTTCATTTTAACTGTAACTTCTATTACTGTACCCAACAAACAGAATACAAAGTAGAAACAATCTGTACCGGCAGAGTACAAACTATAAAACTGCAACCACAGCAATATCGAAAGATATACAAATATTAAACATTACCTATTCTGAAATGGTCATCAATGTTTCCAGCAAAGGTGGCTTCATAATCTTCAGGCCTTTTCAGATTTGGCGGCTTCTCTTCTGGGTCTGAACCAAATTCCCCCTTAAACCGTTTTTTATTACTTACATCAATTTTCTTTTGACTTGCCGATTCAAGGAGGGCAATTAAAATATGTACTACACGTAAAGCAGATTCTCGGAAGGGGACCACCATCAACACCTTGTCAGGAAAATGCAAATTCAATTATTCTATTATTTAAATTCATGACATTTTCTTAACTTTGGGGATGGGGGCAGTTAGGGGAAACTGTAGAAATTCTTATCTATCACTTTCTTTTTAAAAAAGTGCTATATTCTTATTTAGTGTGGTCTGCAAGGATACTGCAAGTCTATTTAGTTGACTGCACTGTCAGCTATCTGCAGTGGAGACTCTCATTTTAAGATATTGATAAAGGTATGGTTTCCAGGTGATGAACATATATTAAGGGTATTTTTTCACCTTTGGTCTAGTGAGACCTTGATCCCTGAGGGCATCTTCATCCACTCCAGCTTCTTGGTCCCGTCGCTTGGCATTGTTGCCAAGCACCTGTGTATTAGCCTTCAAGACATGGTTCAAGGCATGGAGGCAATAGACATGCCGCAATTCTTCCCCATTTTTTAAAGCAGTCCTTCCTGGGTAAAACAAATCCTTGTATGAATTCATAATGCAGAAGAGCTCTTTTTGCAGCGGGCTAAATAGCTGGTCTTTTGATTTTGTCTGAGCAGAAAGCAATTGTCTGTTCACTTTTGGCCAAGTTGACTTTAATGGCTTGCAAAGATGAAGATGTTCCAGATCAACTTCTTTACTTGGATTAATCACTCCAAATTTTTCCAACTTGGAAGAAAAAACTAATTGACCCAGTACTGGCCACTGAAAGAAAAAAAAAAATAAGGCAACAGAACTTTAGCCTAGCCTCTCCTGAACGATGAAACCCTGAACTGTATATTCAGGGTATCCACAGGGAGTGGTCGAAGACATCAAGGGTGTCAACATAGTATCTACAACCAAGCATCCAAAGCCTCACCAACACATGTAAAAAGGGCGTTGTTTTTGATCCCCTCCCTGTAAGACACTCCTGAACCCATTCATCTCCTTGCAACCTCCTGCATGCCTCAAAAATAGAGTGCACACTCTGAGCCCCAAGGCTGCAAAAGATATTCAAAATAAGATTCCACGTTATAACAATGTGGAAGAACAGGGACATTCACAAATAATAAGGGCATTAATCATATCAGTTGTATTTAATACATTCTTCCCTCCATCCTGTCCCATCTATTTTTCTGGAACCAGCTTCAGCAGCTACTCAAAGAATAAGAGATCCTCTCCTGATTTTGAGAAGGTTCAAGGATATATTACCTCAACTTGGCTGGTCAATTTTGAGCACACAACACTTTTATCTATTTCTTCTTGTTCCAGCTCTTTATCCATGTGGCATTTAAATGGATCTGTGTCAAGAAATAAACATATGTTTCTGACTGACTATTTCAGAAACTGAAATTAGGATTTAGTTTGCAAGCACTCAAAAGAAGGTAGCAAGTGAAAAAGATGATTAGATGATTCTATCAATTATTCCAAACTATCAAACCGAAAATGCATTATATAGCTCAGGGTTTCATTATCCAACTAGGTAACATCATCAATGCGAGTGTGCCCACCCCCACATACACTGGCAGGGCAAGCTAGTGTTTATAAACAGGCAGCAAACCCTGAGCTTGAAGGATTGGGTGGGATCCCTTGGACAGAAATCCTCAAATTAAAGGGAACACAAGAGAGTTGGGAATTTCTCAAAATAAGATACTAAAGTATAATTATACACCATTCCAAAGAGTAAAACAAATGAACAAGTGGCAGTTTAGCAAAATATGAGATGTTCAACTGAGCTAAGAGTTAAAAGGGATATGTAGAGAAAACAGAAGATGGGGATAATCATCAAGTAGGTGATTGTGGGTAGAACCACCAGCTGAAGGGAAGTGGAGTGGACCCACCAAGGTGAGTAAAGAGACATTCCAATTTAGAGCTGTTCATGCAGGGGAGGAAATCTTTGAGATTAAACCCTTAGGTCTCTGACTGCCATTTCTCAAGGGAAGACAGAAAGTCTGGCAAGATTCTTATAATGTAATGATCAACAATAAAATCTTTGTTTGGGTCTATCCATGAGTGGTTCTGGTTACTTGTGCTAAGCACTGTCTCAGTAAATAGCTATTGCAAATAGTTATGGAAAGGCTAACATACAAAGGGGGTTTAGACTCTCAAGTGAAGCTAAAAGCAACAAAAAGGAATTATTGGCTGTATCAGTAGTAAAAGAAAGAAGAGGTGGAACCACTGCTAGAAGATAATAGAATTTTGACAGGTGTCAACTCTTACTTTGCCTTTCCCAATTATATTAAAATAGAAATAAGCAGACAAACTGACAAAAACAGTAACCCAAGGTAAATAAAGGGATTGTAAAGGACTGTCTGGTTTATATGAAGAAGTTTAAGTCTCAAGGACTAGACCACTTAGCAAATGTTTAAGCTCCAATTCATAAATTGCAGAATCTTGGTTTAAAAAATACACAACTCAATTGACAAATAATCGTCTTTCCTTTGTGTTATTTTTAAAAAAAATCAAAGACAACTATGACATTACCATCTGTTACTTTTGCAGAAGGTGTTCTTTCTTTGACATTTGCAGCACACTCTTCATCGATAAAATTGGTTTCCAGATTAAACTCAAGTTCAAGTTGGACATCTGTACACTCTTCAGCAGCTTCACACTGTAAATCCTGAAGAGCATCCGAACCTGTAGGCTCCTCTTCGCTATTTTCCATTAGGGATGTTTCTTTATTTAGAACAAACAAAAAGAAAAAGAGAAACAGGTTGCATTTGTTCAAGAGCCAATGTCCATGATTGGTTTGAGATCAACAACTTGAGGTTCCTTTTAGAAAGTGTAAACTTCCATTTAATCTTAAATTACTAGTTGAGAGTGAATTACAATAAATTAATGCAACCGTGATAATTCTTAAGTCTTTTCCTCTAAGAAATTATCTTCCTCGTTTTCTGCCTTCTTCCCTTTAGACCAATGTTCATCAATGGAGACATGAAAAATGAATTGAACTACATCTCCCAGTATTCCAAACATTGTAAGTATTTCCCTTATAGGCTCTGGAAGGTAAGAACTATAGTCCAACGCAAAGAACCAGGCTATACAGATCGCCTTCATATTAACTAAAGTTAACAAGACTTGTCTATGGAGATTCTCAAGCAACCAGGTCATGATTGTCCCAAAGGTGCTTTTTCAAAAGGCAATAGGAAAAAACAAAGGAAGTCCAGTTGCCTTTGAAAAAGCACCTTTGGGTACCAGACTTTTGAGATGCAAAAGTCTAACTAATCACTGCACGGGATGAAAGAGTTAAAGTTTTCTGTATGCCTTAGCTGCCATCTAATGGATTTTAAAGCCCTAACAACTAGAACTAAACAGGGATTGAATCTGTTTTATTATTATTATTATATAGGGCTATCCAGTGATTATTACACAGGAATAAAAAATACTAAGAACTTATTTTTATCAAGTAATAGTCATCCATATTTTTGTACCACAGATCTCATAGTCCTATTATTACATATACCTCCTAAATAATATACCCAATTTCTCCCTTTCAAGCTATTTTAGTGATAGGCACAAATATTAAAAAGCAAACCTTATTGAAAAAAGTGCAATTTAAGTATAAATACGCACTATTTTGCAATGCTTGTCTTAAAATACTAATTTTCAATCCTCCAATTGGTGTATTGATAAGGAAGAAGCCAATTGTTGCCTGCCTATTGGAATTTCTTGGAAATAAGTGCCTCCTATTATTGAAATGAAGGAAAATGCCCTTTGTCAGATTTAATAAAGTTGATTTATTTGGAAAAAAATCACCATAGGAATCTAAGATACTTCGTTGTTCTCTATTCCATGGAGTTTCATATAATTAGCTGCAAGCAAACCCAGAATTTTCCTGTTTCTTGCAATATTTCATTTTTATCTTAGAACACATTGATCTATCCCCTCTGGGATGGTTAATCCCTTTACAGAAATAAATATGTTAAAATAGAAAGTGTTCTTATGCATCCATTTAGAATCCCTTAGAAACCACCATATATAATAAACCAAACCAAACCAAACCAAACCAAAGAATACCTGATTCTTGGTGAGGCACTTTTATTTTGTTGTCGTCATCCTCCATTTCTTTCTCATCCCCAAGCTCATCCACTTCTGTATCTTCTTGGGAACTATCTTCTGATTCATCTCCTTCATCCTCATTGTCTGAACAGACAGATGTTTTTAATGTGGCCAGTAGTTTGTGATACACTGGGATTTGTTCTGAATCACTTTCCACATCATTTTCTGAGCTAGACTGCTCAGAATTTTCATTCTAATAATGGAAATGGAAAAACATTCCAGTACATACATGAGACAATATAAACACAAGACATTCTACACAAGTTTCACAGGATTAGTAGCCTGTGAGAGGGATAACCTGTAGTGTTCCAGATGTTGATGAAATTCAGCTTTCAGCAGCAATACTTGCCAATAACCAATTATGAGAGATGCTGGGAAGCCATGTCTGGCCTTTTCAAGCAATTTCAAAACATTCTTGAGAGAGAATTTGCAGGTCAAATCAAAATTCTTTTGATTAACTATGATAATACTGATCCTAGACCATCATGCATAAGATCAACTCTCAGGAGTCCTAGGATCTATTGCTTATTCCTGGAATCCCTAGACAAGATAAGAGTAATGGAGCTGTTCTCCAAGAAGGCACTTAGACAAAAATAGGCAAATCTATTTGTAACTATTATTTTTTAATTGTCATAGGCAAGCTCTACAATTAATAATTCAGCCACAAAGAACAGTTTTCTCCATTTAGTCAAAGTTATTTTCTCTGACATTAAAAATATAATTTTTAAAAATTGTTAGAATTTAAAATGATAAAAAATATACACTTCGAAGTGTTTAGACACATGTGATCCTGGAACCCCAGAATGTATAGCCCTGATTATAGCAAACGTTGCTGAGAGAAGAACGGAAATGCCCTTTGAAATTTCTGTATTATTAGTACAATAAAAATACAAAACTGTAAAAAAAAAAAAGTGCAATTTATAATGAAAAAAAAAAGAGAGAAGATTTTGCCATCTGGCATGAAGACAAAAAAAGCAAAGATGGGAACCTTTTACTTTATTAATTGAAAATCTTATTTACAGAATTAGCCAAATAGTGTGCATTATAAGTTTCTTATTAATGCTATTCATTAGTAATATAATAAAACAGGCAAATATGATAAGAGATAGCAATATTCCTACCAGTTCACAAATCTGAGTTGGTTTTTCTTTCCCAGAAACCCTGAAAAGAAATAATTTAAATTACTTCCATTTCACTATCTGATAAACCTAAAAATATTACAGGTCATAATAACTGAAATAACGAAGAGAATGCATATTTTAGCAAATTAAGGAATTAATAGCATTGAAATGCATAGTGCTGTATTATATGATTTTATCTTCTGACTGAACAACAATGGCCTTCAAAGTATGGGATGTCCACTATATGGTTCATTCATACATGCTGCTTGCTATGGAGCAAAGATGACCTACTAACCATTTGAAAGACATATTATCACAATATTATCACTAGCTCATCTCTAGCTGTTGCTGAATCAATCTGAAATTGGCTTCACATGTTCTGGTATGAAAGTGACACAAAACTTCTCAAGCAGACAATTCAGAGCACACTGAAAAGAAGCCTCAGGAAGACATGGTCAGGGTCAGCAACTTCCTAACTCCCACATGGCCAGAACACTTGCTGCCCTATCCAATTTATCATATTTGTATAGAGTATGAATTTGACTCTGGGCAGTGTACAATACTTAAAATAACCCAGTTCCTGATCATTGCACCTCAATGGTTATTTCATCAGTGTCAGTGAGCTTTATAAGTTTATTTCCTGGCAAGAACTCTTAGGATTAAGACAAACATAATGCTTCTAATGCTTTCTCGAAATGTTAGAAATGCCCAAAATTCCTGAACAAAATGATAGTGGAATGAATGCCCTATAACAAGAACCAATGCTTTGATCATACATTTTCAACAGCTTTAGATCAATCTACTTCTTTAGATCAATCTACTTCTGCAAAGATGAACCACTACTTGCCAACCCTCTCAACCGCCCTCAAGACAGAGCACAAGCTGAGACCCTGGGAAACCAGGGTTATATGGCCAGGGTTAGATGGTTCCTTAGTAGCCTGCAGCAGTCTGGCAATAGTGAGATAAGATTCAACTTCCAATGCAATTGGTTTTGGGGCAGAGAAGGAGTGGTGTATCTCCTCGTTACCAGAGTGCAGTAGGTGAGTGGTCTATGAAATTAAGGATATTGTAGCCATCATTTCATAGAGCAGTATTCTCAATTTTTTTCCACTATAAATATCACAAACTTTATTTAGAATATACTTGCAAGTATCATTCAACAATAAAAGGAATACCGTTTATTGTTTTGTAAACAAATACATTAAATAAAGTGCCCAGGGCTCTTTGGGGTTAGAATAGAATAGAATAGAATTTTTTATTGGCCAAGTGTGATTGACACACAAGGAATTTGTCTTGGTGCATATGCTCTCAGTGTACATAAAAGAAAAGACACTTCATCAAGAATCATAAGGTACAACACTTAATGATCGTCATAGGGTACAAATAAGCAATCAGGAAACAATATCAATATAAATCATAAGGACACAAGCAACAAAATTACAGTCATTAAGTGGAAGGAGATGGGTGGTGGGAACGATGAGAAGATTAATAGTAATGCAGACTTAGTAACTAGTTTGACAGTGTTGAGGGAATTATTTGTTTAGCAGAGTGATGGCGTTTGGGAAAAAACTGTTCTTGTGTCTACTTGTTCTGGTGTGCAGTGCTCTATAACGTCGTTTTGAGGGTAGGAGTTGAAACAGTTTATGTCCAGGATGTAAGGGGTCTGTAGATATTTCCAAAGCCCTCTTTTCGACTCGTGCAGTATACAGGTCCTCAATGGAAGGCAGGTTGGTAGCAATTAATAAAGTGCAGTTATGTTTTCCTTAGCCTACACAATATGCTGGCATTTTATGCCTACCTGAACTAAGCCATTCCTGGGTCCACAACTAGCAAAGACTTCTGCTGACAATGAGTCAGGGAAAAGGCAATGAAGACCAATAATGAAACAGGGAAGGAAAGGGTGTTCTCGTCCAGACGGGTATTTAATGCCTTGCTACTCGGAAGAAACTCATACAAACCCTGCCTGCTTCTTTGACAGAGGAGGATGCGGAGTGGAGAAAGGGAACGTATCTCAATGGGCACAAATAAAGACTCCGGGGAAATGATGCAATGGGCGCCGTCAGCTCTCGGCTCAGAGGCAATTTTAGAACCCGGCCGGCTTACCGATCATAAAAAGGGTGCTCCTCCCCAAAATCCTTGAGATGCTTCTTTTGCTTCTTGCTTAAGTGGCTGATCAGCTGCTGGCGCTGCTGGCGAGCTTTCCTCTTCCCCATCTCTGCAAACTTCCTACTCCGGCTCCCACGTGGTTCCCTTCCCGCAACCTTTTACGGCCCTAGCCACGCAGAGTCAGGTTCCTCTTGCGACAGACTCCTCCCCAGATTTGGTTGCCGTAGAAGTCATGCTTGCTGGGGAATTCTGGGAGTTGAAGTCCACACGTGGTTAAGGTTGAGAAACACCGGCTCTCCTCCCACAACGACGACAGTGGGCGGAGTTTGACTTGGGTCTTTCTCCCACAAGAATTGGGGTTTTCTTTTCAAAATGCTGCCTTTTATTAAACCCTTTTAATAACCTGTAATATGAATTGCCTATGCACACATATGGAAAAGCATGTATAGGGTTGTGTTGTAAGTGGATGTCTGGTCCGACGCAGCGGAGCTCTGAGACTAAAAAGCTGAATATTTCAGGGAATGCTGGCTATCTTATTACGAAGCTATAGATGTTCTGGGTGGGCAGGATATATTAATTATTGATCGATGTTTGTGAGGAATGAGTTTGTCCAAGAAGCTATCTAGAAGTTAATGCACTTTTGGAATAGTGAGTGCTATCTTATATGATGTTATGTGTGCTATTATGAGTGCTATCTTATATGACGTTATGGCTGAAACATGATGGTTGCAGGAACTGGTATGTCAAGTGTAACGAAGAGAAGGACTAGAGGTGACATGATAGTGGTTTTCCAATATTTGAGAAGCTGTGACAAAGACGATGGGAATAACCTATTCTCCAAAGTACCTGTTGGCAAGATAACTAGCAGATGGAATTTATCAGAGATCCAGCCTAGAATTTCCTTGACAATTATAACAATCAGTGGAACAGCTTGCCTTCAGAAGTTGTGGGTTCTCCAACACGGGAGGTTTCTAAGAATCATTTGTCTGGGTCTCCTGCTTGGGCAGGGGGTTGGACTAGAAAACCTCTAAGGTCCCTTCCAACTGTTATTCTGTATATTACAAACAAAAGAAAGTTAACTAGAAGTGGACTTCAAAGATAGTATATAGGTCAATGTTTTCCAGCCCCAGGTCTTGCAAGGTGCTGAACAGCAATTTCCATAATTCTAACCATTGTGATAGTAAATCTTGGTGCCTTTGAATTAGAATTGTATACCAGTGGTCTGAAGGGCATCAGAGCAGGCAGAACAATTAAAACAAATTAAGGATCTTTGTGGCATTCACCAGGTGCCAGGGAAATAGCAATCCAAGGATACGTAAGCCAAGTGTCCTGCAGGGGGTAGTGCTTGTGGTGGTAAGCCCCACCCTCTTTCTGGAATTGATGTGCTTTCAGAGACCAAGCACCATTTTGGAGTTTGGTTTGTAGGCTGAACTGCAGGAAAGGAAGTTTGCTTTCTCCTCCCACTTGTTGGCATATTTCTGGTAGTGCATTGTCTCCTTTGGCAAGTATAGTGATTGGTTTTCTGTCATTTGTATTCTTTTGTATTTGTTTGCTGCCCATGGCTTAAAGCTTATAAAATGGGAATTATTTTGCTGATAAATAGATCCTTTAAACTGAGTATCTTTTTCTGATATTTTACCATACATTGATTATTGAGCTGCTTTTATATCCTACTGCAATTAAAATCACTATTGGAGATTTACTATATAGGAAAAAATAGCCATCTAATAAAAAAGTACAACTGATATATCATAAAACACATTAACATACATCAAGAGCCAATTTTGAATTATACAAAATCAGCACAAAAAGCTGAGTTTATCCAGATGTGATCAGGGAACTGTCATTTTCCTAAATGTGATCAGGGAACTACAATATTATAGTCAAGAATGTTCCCAAAGGTCAGCAGTGCTTCTAGTTTCATTCCCCTTTTTAATTCCTGGATGTGAAGGAGTATGAATTGATTTTCTTGGGATGATTTTGTACATTGCACCTAGATAGTTTTGTGGAGCAAGATTAGCTGACTGAAAGCCAGTACAAGGTTCAAGACACACTTCAACAACTAATATCAGTTAACACATGGCTTCTTGCATTCTGGATCAATGGTAGCTTCTGCGTGGTGTTTAAAAGGCATCTCCACATAGAGTGCATCACTATTATCCTAACTGGGTGATAAAGCCATGAATTACTACATCATGTTGCATTTGGTGTTAGGTCATGACTTGTGCATCAGCCAAAGCTTGACAAAGGCTGTCCTGGCCACAGATTCCACTTGCTGCTCTGAACAAGAGCTGGGAGTCCAGAAAGATTCTCCAAGGTATATTAAGAGGCAGCACTAACACTGACAGAGAACTTTGATGGATAAGTGGCACCTCCATCTTGCTTGGTTTCAATGTCAATCTGTTCCATCCCCACTAGACTTTAACATTTCCAAGTACTGGAATAAGATATTAACAGCATTTCTAATCCAGGGCTCAAAGGATAATACAAGAGTAAAATAAAAATGGGTTCAAATATGCTATCTGACAATTCTGACACTATATGCTAGACTACGATTATTTCTTTATTTATTAGTTGAATTTAGGTTTCAGAGAAATCTATCAGCTTTCTATCATGGCTATTCTAAATGTACTTTATGTTCTGCTTCCAAAATTTACTTCCTACCGGTACTTCTTGTATGTGTAAAGGATGCGTGTACATTTTTAAAAATAAAATTTCAATCTTGCCTTTTGATTAATATCACTTAAAATAACTTTAAAATATTAAGATACAATAATGATACAAAAACATTATTCTGAATAAATTATCTAGAAACTAAGCAGCAAATTAAATATTTGTATAAAACCCCCGATTGTTTGGCTTTTAATGGCTGAATATAGAGGTTTAATGAATACAATCATGGGTACAGAAAGTATATATGGAACTTAAATGATTCAACATGTCAAATACATACAAATACTTCCATCCTCAGTTTCCTAACATTGTAAGTGAATTACAATTAATTCCCTATTGAAAATGCTCTAAATGTTTTCAAAAATATTACATAAAAATATTTCAGTGTTTATAGTTAGTGATAAGAATATTACAAGTTTGATGGTTCTCTCGTCAAGGCATCTATATAGGAAACAACTGGAGCAAATTATCATTTCAAATGTTGATAAACAATTTGGTATAACATTTGTTTTAATAATATACAGGGACATGATCATTTTCAACATCTTCAGCCAAATTATGGTGCAGATGAAATGTCCACTTTTTTTTTTCTTTAATTGCTTCTGAACCAATAAGCTTTCATTGTAAAGTTCAAATACTTGTTTTGGTCAAGTAATAAAGATTCCCTGTAAGTACCCTGATACAGGGCTCTTTCAAAATCGGTTGATTTTATAAAACAATTATGGTATTTCATGTTGATTTCTTAATTAACCCATAGGGAAATTAAAACAAAAAGAGTCCAGGTTTTTATGAAGTAATTGTGGTTTCTTCTACTTCAGGCAGGACATCCCAAACAGGTTTCCGAATATGATCAGGAAGTTTCTCTAATTTGGTCTAAAAACAATGAGAAATATATAGTTTACATGCTCATGTTGGAATAGTTCATAGGTTCTCTAGGTTAAATTCTGTAGGTATTTTTTAAAAGCCCAACACAATGTGTGAAGAAAGTAGCAAAAGACGTCTGTTTTAGTAGCTGATTAATATTAAAACTTAAGAATTCAACATATTTTATATTACATAAACAAGGAGACTGTTTTGTTTCCAAATCCAAAGCAAATCGTCCTGTTTTAGAAATTGATAGATACTCCTCAATTTACGACAATTTGGACTGGAATTTCTGTCATAAGTTATTATGATCGTAAGTCAAGTCAGATCCCATTTTACAATGTTTGCAATGATTGTTAAGGGAATCCAGCTTCCCGAATGGACATTTTCCCCCGGAATTGGGAAAAAAAGGGTTGCGCTCATGTGACCGCAGGATGCTGCAACAGATTGTAAATGCAAGTTAGTTATCAGGCGCTTGAATTTGTGATCATGTGACGGCAGGGGTGGTATGACACTTGTAAGCCCAAGTATAGATCATCAGTCACTTTTTACAAAGTCACTGTAGTTTTGAACCATCAATGGTCATAAGTAGAAGACTACTTGTATGCACTGCCCCCCTCCCTGCAGCTCCTAGCCTAGTATAGTTTATCAATCTCCCAATCTTCCCACCATATTCCTGCCCCCCCACCCCGCTTGCTTCTGTTGTTGTCTCAGTGTGGCATTCTCCTATAGAAACACACAACTGCTCTTCCATCCCCTGCCTTTCCTCAGCTGCTGACAAACTTGTATTCCTCCCCCCACCTCACCATTTTTTCCCGAATCAAAACAGCTGTTTTATTGTGTGCATTGTGCTTCCAGCACAAAAGCAAGCAATTGTGTGCATGAAGGAAAACACTCAGAACAGGTATTTTTTTGGTTTGAGTCCAGGCCACTCTAAAATAACTGCTCCATGCATAGAATTTGTGTATGAAACATTTTGCATACCCCTATAAACAGAACAAAATTAGCAATACCTTTTTGACTTCCATGGCAACCCCTTCTGGTAGATTTCGCTGAATGTATTCCAAGTAAACATTGGCTGTGCTACCAGTTAAATTCTTTAACTGAAATAGAAAGCACTCTTATACTTTTTGGGTAACAATAATCTGGGGGGGGGATCTACATGTACAGGTAGTATTAGGTAGCAATTGTAAATAGTGTCTGACTTAATAAGAGATTTCTCCTAGCTTGAATCAACCTGTATTTTCTTTACGTTTACTTAAATCCAGAAAATCAAAATATAAAGCCTAGATATGGCTATAACTGCCTATCATAAGTTAACAAATATCTAACTTGTTGAGAGAAGGTATATACTTCTCCAAAACACAGTTTTCTGTGTGTTCTATGTACCTATTATTTTTTAGTTGAACATGCAACTGTTTACTTACCTCTATATACTGATAATGTGTTCTCATTTCATATTGAACTCTGTGCTTCTTATAAATGTGTACTGATTTCAGAAGTGTTAATCTTTCTATCTTTCTAGGAGGCTTTTCTCTAAAAAAATAACATTTTAATCATGTAGACATAATCTATTTCTGAAATTACAGCCAACAATATAAATAACCACAATTATTTAGAAAGTTGGAAAAAGAAAAAACAAACAAAGATGAGCCTTCATCTGGAGTACAGATCTTGGAAGTAGGCAACATACAATGCATATAAATGAAAAGATAAAACTTCAAACACAGGTAGTCTTTAATTTATGGCCGCATCCGAGCCCAGAATTTTGGTCTTAAGTCATTGCAGTTATAAGTCAAGTCACCCCATGACTAAATTTGAAGGTACAATCATTATGATGGTCGTTAAGCAGGCCACCATAACTGTTAGGTGAATCACATGGTCATTAAGCAAGCCATCTGATCTTAAGTCTGAATCCACCTTATCCGATAGGCGGAAAACAACAAAAAAGTCACAAAATGTGACCATGTGATTGTGGGACAGTGCAACTGATCATAAATGTGAACATAATTGCTGGGGTCATGTAGCAGTTATAACATTAAGAATAGGGTATAAATTGAGGATTACCTGTTATGTCAAGATACCTGGGCTGGCAAACATCAATTTTATTATTTATAAAATTCTATTTAACTCAATTGTGATAGAATGGAAGTTGACTTTGCTTAAAGTTAAGAGCCTTGGTAGTACAGTGGTCTAAAGCACCCTGTTATTAAGACCAGCTGCCTGCAATTACTGCAGGGTCGAATCTCGCCAGGCTCAAGGTTGACTCAGCCTTCCATCCTTTCTAAGGTAGGTGAAATGAGGACCCAGTTTGTGGGGGCAATAAGCTGACTTTGTAAAAATATACAAAAGGATGAAGGCTATTGCTTAGCGCATTGTAAACTGCCCTGAGTCTCCGGAGAAGGGCAGCATATAAATCAAATTTTTAAAAAAAGTTTACTTTGAAACAATTACTCAACCGCTTATATAACATCAAGACTTTTATTTTAGCTCATAAGCATGCAAACAAAAGTTCACACAGCTTAATTAGTCTTAAGACTCTTTCTAAGGCTCTTTCCTAAGACTTAAGAGGAGTTCAAATTGGCTCTACAACAGCATTGGTTGCTCTGGTCAATGACCTCTGTAGGGACTAAATGGGAGGACTGTCCCACTTTTAGGCCTCTCAACAGGGTTTAATATAATCAATCATTATATCTTTCTTATTGATGGAAGGAACTGGGAGTTGAGTGCACTGTTCTATGGTGATTCTACTCCTGTTTAAGCAAGTGGTTTCTATCATGGGTTAGGATTCAGATTCCTGGGAACAGTAATGTAGAATACCTCAGGACATGGGGCTTTCCCCATATATTTTAAAACATCTACATGAAATTGCCAGTGGTTTGAGTTGAAATGTCATCAATATATGACATTAATTATGCCCACAGTGTGGGGTTCTATCCTGATGAGCTCAAAGTTGACCTTCAGCCCTCCATTCTTCCAAGGTCGATAAAATGAGGACCCAGATTGTTGGGGGCAATATACTGACATTGTAAACCACTCAGAGTGCTATCAAACACTATGAAGCAGTATACAGGTAGTCCTCAACTTACGATCACAATTGAGCCCCAAATTTATGCTACTGAGTTTTGCCCCATTTTATGATTTTTCTTGCCACATTTGTTAAGTGATTCACTGCAGTTGTTAAATTAGTAACACGGTTGTGAAGTGAATCTGGTTTCCCCTTTGACTTGGCTTGTCATAAGGTTGCAAAAGGTGATCACATGACCCCGGGACACTGCAACCGTCATATATGTGAATATACATCCGAATGTAAATCACATGACCATGGAGATGCTGCAATGATCTTAAGTGTGAAAAATACTCATAGCTCACTTTTTTCAGCGATGTAACTTTGAACGGTCACTAAGTGAACAGTTGTAAGGCAAGGACTATATGTATAAGTCTAAGTGCTATTACTAATTATACATTATTACTCTAGGCTAAGCTGGAGGTAATATAAAAGCCCTAAATTGGTACCTGAAAGATCTGAATAGGAAGAAAATAAGCTGAGACTAAATCCTACCAAGTCAAATTTGCTAGTTGTCCATAAACATCTAGATAACGTAATAACACTGGCTCAGCAGTTGCACCTGATGGAACCACATTCATCCCAAAGGAGTTGGTTTGTGACTTGGGGGTTCCCCTGGATTTTCAGCTCCTGCCTATATAGTAGGTGATAAATGTAGTCAAAGCAGATTTCACTGAGCTCCAACTCTACTTAGACCAAGATGTCCTAGTAACAATAACCCATGCCCTGATCATTATTTGGTTGGATTACTGTAACAGAGTCTGTGTGGCTACCCTTGGGGATGACAACAGATATTATAACTAGTACAAAAGGCAGCTATTAAAACAAACACATCAAACTTGAAAACCCCCTATTTTGAAGCCACTTTCCTTGCAAATTTCATGAAACATGGGTAGACAGCTGACCTTGTCAGTGGCTCTCTCATTTTATCAAATAGCTTTCCCCCAGAGATACAGGTAGCCCTGAATTGAAAGGGAGTTCACAAGCAGACCAATCTTTTTCCAATCCATGTTTCACTTTGTTTAGTTTACTTTTATAGGCATCCATGGTGCTTATTATTGATTATTTAAAAAAACATTTTAATTTTGGTTATTGCTGTGACCTTCTATCTGCCTACAGTCTTACAAAGAATGAAGCGGGATATAAATATGAAATAAAAAGTAATTCATAGGAGCAGTTTGCCCCAAGCTGATTCTGGAATCAATTACACTGACAGGTTGCAGGCTGTCCTTCACTGGACATGCTAGAAAATCATATGTTAGTATTCTTTAATTTGGGAATCTCCAACTGAACATGGAATAATGGCTTAAATGGTCCATTACAATTGTGCTCTTCCAGTTTGATTTTTGTTCTTTGGACAACTAGTGGAATTAGTGAAAGATTTGGAAATATGTAATGCAGTGAGTTGGTCTATTTGAGAATAAAACTCTAGAAAGACTGAGTAAGTATAAAGATCAACAGTACTTACATTTTTTCAATGGAGAGACCAAGTTCTTTTGCAGCTAGAACCATGAAATATTCATAACTGTCCAACACAGCTCTATCATGCCCCTTAACTAAAATAGCCAGTCTTTTATATAATATATCTGGCTCATCAGAAACAGATACCTAGTTTGGAAGCAAAGAGAAATAATTTAGCATCAGCATTCTAAAGGTGTCACTCTGAATACAGTTATTATGGTTTAAATATAAATTATCCAATACATGTTAAAATTACTGTATTTTTCAGAGTATAAGATGCACCTTTTGCCCCCCTAAAAGGGGGTGAAAATTTAGGGCATCTTATACACCGAATGTACCCTGCCCATCCACTGCCCCCCACCCTTTGGCCTGTGCCTTGCAGCAGTTACCTCCTTGCAAGCAAACAGCAAGAAAAAACAGCTCCTTTCAGCTTCAGCATAGACTAATTAGCACAAGTTGATTAGATCGGCCTCCCGACTCTCAGCTGATTTGCTCTCAGCTGTTTTGTGCAGAACTCTGCTGCTTGCTGCAAAGAGGTAAATTGCTTGTGCAGATTTTTTTTCCTTGTGCTAATCAAGCTATGCTGAAAACAAAACTGAAAGTAAAGCAGGCTGTTTGCTGCAACGAGGCAAAATTAGGCAGAGGGAGATTTCTTTTTCTTTTTTTTCCTCACCAAAAAAGGTAAGTGCAAACAATGGGAAATTTAGGGCAAAAGAGGAGAATTCAAAATTTTAAACATAAAAGAAAAAAAGGAGAAAGAAAAAGGCAAAAATAAAAATGGGAAGAGAGAAAAAGAAATGAAAGAGAAAAATCTTATATATATTTACAATTGAAATATGAATGGTAGTAAGAAATAAATGAGAAATCATGATTGTAAAAATGAAATCAATAATAATTGGAATATTTGTCTTTGTATTTTTGAAATCTAAACAATGATTAGTTTTTATTTTTTTATTTTTTTTAGAAATATGAATAAGTATAAACTGTAACAATTGAAATACCTTTAATGGTATATGGTGGTGAAAGTAAAAAGGATTAAATTATAGCTTGGATAACAGCTAGAAAATTTTTAAATTTAATTAGGGAAGTTGTAATGATTGAAATATTTTCAATTATATATTGTGAGGAAAGTAGAAATGATTAAGTTGTGATTTGGAGGATTATATGGGCAAAACTATGTGGGTTATTGGGAGAGTTTAAGATGTGAAAATGAGTAACATAAGAGGAGAAAATTATTTGGTTTATTATTATTGGTAAATATAATTAATTCGTAAGAAATTGGATTGCATGGAAATGATTGGAATATTCATGTTCATATTGATTAATATACAAAAAGAGTTATATAACTAATTGATTTATATTAAAATGTTGAATTTGTATTAAACAATTGTAATATTACATAATTAACCAATGTGAGGATGGATATAAAAATAGATGACAATGGGAAGGGGTATAATATAGAATAGAAAGGAAAAATTGAATTTGATTAAGATTAGAGATGAGGATGAAGGGTAATATTGGTTTTTTTTAAAAAATAGATGAGGAATAAATATGGCAAAAGGGAAATATAGAAATTGTAAATTTAATTGAAATGACTAAACACTGTTTAAATTTGTGAACCAGCCAAATACTCTGTTCAAAGAAAATACATTGTATGTTTGTATGTGTGTGTGTGTGTGTCTAAATTTTTAAAAAAAAAACTTTTAAAAAAAACCCAAAAAAGGTAGGTGCGTCTTATACTCCGGTGCGTCTTATACTCCGAAAAATACAGTAAGTAATTGTCATTCTCCCACTTTTTTCTGGTTATACAAATATAACTCAGATCATAGTTTAGTTTTTTTCTTCCAAATCTTTTCTTAGTTGCTGAAAAATTATACACTGAAAATCATCACACATACCAACTGATTCGTTGCGGGCTGTTGAGTATTATTGTTGGCCCTTGAAGACTGAATCCACATCAAGTGATTATTTCTGAAAAGTAAAAGGGGAATCAGTTTGAGTTAGTTTGGAATTGTCATTGGTCATAAAAACTGAAACCACAGCTTTAATATAGCATTAACTCAATGTGGCAAACTTACTTAAGAAAGGTATGTTGCTTTAATGGAACTTTGCCTGCTACAAGAAATTTTTCTGGCCCCTAAAAATAATAAAAAGTACATAGTTAATATATTAAGTGTACTTTGTCATTGGTAGTTTTCCAGAATTTGATCTGAAGCTAAAGATTTTTTAAAAAGGCAAAAATGGAAAAGGGAAACAAGATTAGATTATTGATATTAAAAGCAATAAATATCTACAAACCTTCACTTAATTATAGAATCTTTAATATATTTTGTTCATGGTCAACACTGCTTCAACAAAAGTTTAACTGAGATGGGTGGTGTAGAAATGTGATGAATAGATGAATAACTAAACAAGTCTGAAGTCTTGCATTTTGAGATCCAATGGGTCTCTCACCATCCATTCAGACCAAAAGATTTCCTTTTTCAGGAATACATGATTTGGCATCCATGTGTGCTTAGTTCCTTCTACAGTAACATAATTTTTCACTAGGAGGTGAAACATTATTACTTCACACACAGTAACAATAGTTGTAGAGTTTATAGTTCTATTCATATAGAAGTCAGTCTTTAAGTAGTCATTTATAGAAGTGATCTCTTGATATGTGGTGTGTTATTACATAGCTTTGAAAAGCATAAGCATAATAAACAGATCATTTTTTTAAAAAAAAGTCAGCCTAAAGTCAATAAACAGATCTTTTAAAAAAAGTCAGCTAAGTGTCAGCCAGGACTGATAAAAGCCACATTGAACTTGCTAGTAGATAAGAGAGCATTAATTATGCATGTGTGTATATTTTATAAAAACATATAGCTAAGCTCAGTTTAATTTTGTTAAGTTGGATTGCAAAATTGTCTAAAAGGAATCTATGGACCTCTCAAAGAATAGTCCCTAGATTCCTTTAAACTATTTTGCAATCCAATCCAATCTAGTCCAATTCAAATAAATATAAACCATGTTTAAAATCAATCTAAAGGTTGGCAAGTTCAAAATTCTGCAGTAATTGCCAACAAAAGGTTGAAACATTTCAGTTGAAGATTCAAATCTATGAGGCCCTTTTATTATTATCACCAGATTTATAGGAGTTCAAGGTGATGCATATTGCACCTCTTCCCCCACTTTTTCCCACAACCACCACCCTGAGTGAGAACTGGGGTGAAAGAGGGAGACAAGCCCAAGTCACCCAGTCAACTTCCTTGTATTGAGAGTAAATTAAATCTTGGATGTATCTCTGATGCTAATCTAGCAGTGTAACTACTGCACTCTTTTGACTTAATACAGCAGCATACAAGGTTTCCCCTTTGCTAATGTGCCTGTAGAACCAATCTAAGTTCGATTAGGCTAAATTTGCCCCATAAACAGCACCAAAGAGGTATTATTTAAAGCTCTTTAAGTGCCAGCACATTACAATTGCTTGTTTGAAATGTAAACACTCTATTTGGCGTTCTCTGCTTTTTGTGGTAGAAGCAGGGGCAATTACCCGGCCACTCTTTTCCAGCCAGATGCCGGTTCAGATGCACCGAACTACAACTCACCTTCCCAGCCGGTCGAGTAAGATTAATAATCTTAATCTTAAACCGCGTAGCCGCAAAGGCTGGTATATAATTTTGCTCCCATCCGCGGAAACCCCCTCAAACGCCAAAATTACCTGCCATAGCCGGCTTAAAAGAGTCAACGCCGCCCGCGCCGCCATCTTGCCCGCCCTTCCACAACTTCCTCTTGCCAAGATACCACGGAGTTTCCCTACTCAGACAGCTAGAGCGGCGTTTTGCGCTAGACTAGAGCGTCGGTTTCGGACCGCAGGAAGCTGATTTACAAAAGCGAAAGCAGGGGGCAGTAAGTCCTCCTGGTGGGCCGGAAAGGGGTTTTTTTTTTCTCTAAGCCGTTTAGAAGCTCATCCCTTTCAAGAAAAAAGACGGTGTAAAAAAGATGATCATTGACGCAAAGAGCGCCAGTTACTGTATTTTCCAAAACCCCGGGGGGGGCGGGGGCGGCGACTATTCTTAATTTATTTATTTTTTGCAAATGCTTCCAGAAGAAATAAACCTGCGCTGCAGGGAGTGTCTCAACACAAACCTGCCTGGAATGGGGCGAGGCTTGAGAGACGCACCATTCGGTGACCAGGTTGAGCGACTGCCGCCTATAGACAGCGGGGCAGCGCTACTCAAGGTTGGATGACCGTCCTGGAGTCTATTCCAAGGAGTCTGTCCGAGAAGGGGACGCTAAGAGGAAAGGGGACGGGGGGGATCTCCATTTTGCCACACGCAGAGACCAAATGCATAGTCTACTCGCCATGGGCGTGCATAAGTGCACCAGCGTGCCTACCGTCCCTGTCCTAATATTCCCTTTTACTTACTCTTTTCATGTATTCAAATTATGTTTATCGTTTTACCTGTTATCTTATATATGCTTGACAAAATAAATAATAAATGGGAGGGCAGCTCATGAGGTTAATACGTCCCAACGCCCGGACTCCGGGGCAAGGACGAGGCTGCCTGCCGTTTCCGATCGCGCTTGATAATGGTGAAGCAGCCGAAGGTCTCGTGTGAACATCTTCCACAGTGAAATCACCTTGTAGATCGGTCGCTCATCCCAACATCTTAATAAAAGGGTTGAAATTATCCCGTAATCGACCGTGATTGGCGAAATGTTTCTTATCAGGATTGTTGAACGCTGCTTTACAGTGCCGCCCTTGCATTTCCGCCCAGTATTGAACTCAAAAGCTTAACATTCAGGTTGCAGCGTTAAAAAAAACAAACCTGGCTAAACTGGCGCTTGTACAGCCTGCTTGCCACGGTCTTCCTCTCGCCGCTCGTGTTCAGCTGGTAACGCTTGGATTCAACTGTACTTCGTTCAATTGCGGGACGCGACCAAGTGCTTTGTGCAAGCGATCGGTTTTAATCGTGTGAACGCGCAACCAGATCACAAAACATGATCAACTATCTTTCTGTGTACGAGACGGGCGCCCACGTGGAGTTGGAGGACGCCGGAAGAAGGTGGAGCAGAAAGCCGCCAGCTGCGTTTATAGAACCGTTCCAGTAACTTCAGAAAAACACATCAAACGTTCAATGTTTTTCACTCTTAAACAACTTTAAGACGTGTGAATTATTGCTCTAGAATTCCCCAGCCAGCATTCTGGGAGTTGAAATTCCACACCTCTTAAGGCTGCAAGGTTTGAGAAACTCAGCTATACCAAGTCACTTAGCATAGGTTCCTTAAGTCATATAATCACGAGGACCTTCTTTACGTTTTAATTCATTAAAAATACTTTTGATCCTTTATTTTACTTTTTCAATTAACCAGCTCCCTCATTAAGCGCTATGTATATTACATATGTATATATCCCTATCCCAATACACACACAGCTTTTTGAGGTGCACAGAATGGATTATACTAGGCCAAAACTGTTACATAATCCTATATAGATCTGTCCACAAATTGAAAGCAGTTGGTAAGGTGGTTTATGAGGGGCATTTGTGAAAGAATGTTTGGGTTCCTTGGCCTTGGAAGTTTGAGGGTAGACGGAACTGGGATGCAGAGAGAAAAGAGGGCAGGAACTGAGGATATACATTGAGGGTGCAATTGGCAGTTGAAGTTACAAGCAACAATCTGTGGGTGGGTTGCATTAAAAAAAAAAGATGGGATTATTGATTGACAACTATCCTACCATCCAGTCCTTTGTATCTGCCCCTGAAGCCAGTTCACTGGGTGGTTGGTAGCCCTGGGTTCCTCCTGCTGCTGCTGCTGCTTCTGAACACAAGATTGGCTTGTAATAAACCTGATCCACACATACACATGATCTGTTAATGAATGAGACAGCTGACTTTATCTGAAGTGGTGTAGGGTTTCCTGCCTAAGCAGGGGGTTGGACTAGAAGATCTCCAAGGTCCCTTCCAACTCTCTTATTCTATATTCTGTTTTATGACTTGTATATATTGAGACCTAGTGGACCAAAGGGGAGAGGGTATGCGTTCACTTGGGCTTCATGGCTTCAATGATGGGGGTGGTTGTTGTCATCTGGGAGACCTCAGTGGCTTTTAGTGACTCTGCTTCAGAAACAATTGGATGTGAGATCCTTATGGCTGAAGCTGGGTTCAAAGGAACTATTGAGCTGCTGCACTGTCCTCCCTCCTATGCAGCCTCATCCATGTCCAAACCATTGCACTTCCAGGGATGGGTTCCACTTACCTTTTGCTACCGGTTTGCAATGGGAGCGTGCGTGTGTGCTCACTTTGCTTGCGGCACTTCTGCGCCTACGCAGAGCGTTTGTGATGACATCTGGGCGGAGCCTCCCACTGCTGTTACTACTGGTTCACAAGATCCGGACTGAACCGGTAGCAACCCACCACTGCTGCATTCTAACCCTATGTTGTTGTTGTTAGTTGCGAAGTCGCAACCCCACAGACAACGTTCCTCCAGGCCTTCCTGTCCTCTACCATCCTCTGAAGTCCATTTAAGCTCACTCCTTTTGCTTCGGTGACTCCATCTATCCACCTCATTCTATGTCGTCCCATTCTTCTTTTGCTGTCAATCTTTCCCAGCATTAGGCTCTTCTCCAGTGAGTCCAACCCTCCTACATTGCCAGTGAAATCCCAAGGCTGTTAGTGCTTGGATACTTCAACTTCCTCCCAAGGGACCTGAAATCAGGAATAGCTCAGGAGTTCATGGCCACCCCTAACCTGACCCAATCATTGAAGGCACAACACAATTAAGGTTACACATTTTGTAACCTTGCCTATTTTGTTTTGAACAGTTGAAATGTGGAGGTGAAAGACATTACTATAGGAAAGGCTGATTTTTGTCTTGCTGGTGCTACTTTCCCTTCCCCGGTAAAGTAGGGCCTTTAGACTTGATCATCCCAGGTGCCTAAGTTTGGGGGAAGCTTGGGATTTTCCCTGAAGATCTGCTGGGTCATTTGGGTGTGGTTTTAAGTCTGGAATAGACAAATTATAGGGGCCTTGAATCAAATTCTTCTTATAGGGCCTCTCGCTGTACACTATAGCTTTGGTTCTCCAAGAAGCCATGGGAAATAAAGCCCAAGTGTGAGTTCTGTTGGCGAAATGCAAAGAGCAAGATGTAACAAATAAATTCTGGAATCCTTTTTGCTAACTTTACCAACAATGGCCATACTTCACTATGTATATGTGTTGGAATTTGAATCACATGACTGGAAGGAAGAGCGCTTAGATTGGTGTACAGTATTTAATAATTTTCTGAGTTTCTGCCCTATTGTCTCTTCCCTAAGGATGCAATAGGGATTTTTTCTTTTTCTAGCCAACTTCAAACTCTCTTTTGGGGGGGGGGGGTAGTCTGCCCCTATTTGTATCAGAATTTGATCCTGTTCAGGTTCAGAAAAGTGCTGTTGACTCCCTTAATTTCACTATTCTGCAGTTTCAAAATATGAAACCAAACAATAAAATGCTGATTCATTTATTTAAAAGATTTTTTCCCATCACATGAACATTTTTTTAAACAAAGTATATCTTATCAAAAGTATAAAATACTGTTTCTCCCTGCAAACTCTTACAGAATCCCTTTGATTTTACAATTGCCTGTCAAAAAAAAAAGCTGTATAATCTATACACAGTACTTGCTTTTAATTATGTACCAGGTACAATGCATGCCTCATTCTACCTCATCAGACAAAAAGGAAATTGCCCCCTCCCATGTAATATATTATGAAATTAAGCATTTAGTGCAAACCTGACCCAATTACATCCTGAAATTAAATCACATGCAACTCAGGTGTAATTAAGCCGTAACAGGCAAACATTTTAATATAAAACAAAATAAAAATGATGTTAAATGTTTTTAAACCAAATATTTTTACACTACACTATACCTCAGAAATGTACAACTTTTTTGTAACAATCAATCAGCAGTTAAATACTTCTGAAAATAAGATTTCTCCATTAAAATATATTTTCCTTTTTTCTTAGGTTATGTGCACTTTTTAACTAATTCGTTACTGAAATAGCTGTGATAAACACAAAATTTCAGTAAATAGAACCTCCCCACACACAGATTTTCTGGCAAAATATTGAAGCATATTTCAACAACAACATTTTTATAGAAGTACCAATATTCTTTCTTTCAAGGATTCTTTTGCGATTCCGTTAGGTTAAAATGTGCATTTTATGACATCTCTGTATATCCAGAGTATGCTGGATAGAGGACGGAGTAATTGCTTTACATAATTTAAAATGAAACCATGCATTATCAGGTTCATCATGAATTAGTCCAATGATCAATTGCAATGCCGTCAATTTTACCAATACCTTCCAGTATATTGTAAGAATACAATCCAATGGCACTAGTGCTGTGGTTATAAATCTAAAGACATAATCAGGAACAATTTTATATTACGGACTTATTCTAAGGAAACTTAGAAATTTATAATATCCTGAAAGAGCCTCCAAGTATGCTGGATGAAAATTTTGAGACTCAGCCTCACCTCATCTGATGGACATAGCTTGAGGAATACTAAAACCTAATGTTATTTAGATGAATAATGGCCTGATGCTTAATGAAGGTAATGACCAGCTTCTTAATGAAGGTAAAAAAAAATCTGGCTTATAGTTTTATATGAAAATAATACAGATCAGCTTGGAATTATCTATTGTGAGTTTTGCACTGTTATCAAAGTGCAAAAAAATGGGCAGAACCATTTTGGGGGATTGGTTTACCTCACTCATGCTGGGTCAATGGCAGATCCCATCAGGCAATGAATTTCAGCTGGTGGGATCCAGAAGAGCCTTTTCTGCTATGGCCTCTGCTCTTTGGAACATCTTGCCATAGGACATAAGATCCAACCCTTCTTTTTAAGCCTTCAGGGAAAGCCTTAACACCTGACTATGCCAGCTGGCATGAGGTCCTGAAGATGGTTGATGCATCAAGAGGAAAGGCAAACCCACCTCTCCTCTCCAAATTCATGTTTTTCAATTTGTTTTAATGTTTGTAATTTTAATCTACTTTTATATTTATAATTGTCAGATATTTGTATATTTTATCTTACTTCCACTCATGAGTCACCTTGAATTGCAAGATGGGTGGCAAGTAAATTTGATAATAATAATATTTTAAAAATAGTAGACAAAGCAGATAATAATAAAATCTGGCAATGGTTAAGAGTAGGAAAGTTGAAGAAAGAGACCTAGAAGCTAATTCTAGCTGCACAAGACCAAACCTCAAGAACAGATACATACAACAAATGCATTCAAAGCCAAAGTTGGGAAGTCCTGCTTCTGCAAAGAAACTGAAGAAACAGTGGCTCCCATGGTTAGCTGCTGCAAGACGATTGCACAGGCTAACTACAAATAACCTCATGACAAAGTAGCAACAATGGTGCATTGGACGATCTGCAAAAAATACCATTTGCTTGTTTGCCTGCAAGCAAGAACTGATGGGACCATAAAAGAGAGAAAGTTATAGAAAATGATGAAGCTTTGGGACTTCAGAATTCAAACAAACAGACAAACGAACGAACAGAAAGAAATCTGAATTTCAATATTAGCAAAGTGAAAACTGTTAAAACATTAATTGTGGTTTTTATTTTGGTCATATAATTAAAATGAGAATCTTAGAACATAAACACAATATAGGTCTCCCAAACTTGGGTACGGATATTGGGCTTATTTTTATTTTCAAACCTGCCATACCCCAGACATAACAACTGTCTATAACAGAGATCCCCAACCTCTGGGCCGCACCCCACTAGTGGACCATGAGCTGTTTGCAACTGAGCCATGGAAATGGGTGAGCATGCACACACATCCCACTTGCGTGAGCAGCAGGCAAGCACATGCATGCATGCTCAATTTAAGTGAGCACATGTGCATGCTGCGAGCCTAAACAAAGCTGTATGCATAGCACGCGTGCTGTCTGTGCGCATGGGGAACCATCCCTCTCCCACTCACCAGTCTGCAAAGCCAGAAAGGTTGGGGAATTCTGATCTATAAGAAAGACGAAAAAAGTCTGGATAGTGGATGTGGCAATACCCGGAGACAACAGAATAGAAGAGAAAAACTGGAGAAGATGATAAAATACACAGACCTGCAAATAGAAACAGAACGACTGTGACAAAGGAAAGCAAAAGTAGTTCCAATAGCAATAGGCTCTTTGGGTCAATCCCAAAACAACTGGAGCACCACTTGAACACCATTGACAAAATTACCATTGGTCAATTGCAAAAGTAGCTTTAACTCAGGATAGCTTGCATCCTGCAACAATATCTTTATCACCATCAACCATCCACATCTGCCAATCCCAGGTTCTTGGGAAGGCCTTGATAGGTTAAAAAAAAAAAGCCAAATCCAATATAAATATCTACCTGATTGTGCAATGAAGCATATTAATCAACTCTCTTCAATTTCTTTGTTAAAGAATGAATACATATCAGAAGAAGAAACCCAACAGATAGCTTGCACTTCACAGCCTACTGACTAGTTAAAGGAAACTTTTGGTGTTACTGATAATTTCAACTTGGCTACTTTTCATGTGGTGCATGTAATCTATAATTGGACACAGAACTGATTTGAACACAGTAATTGCCTCATCTAGAACAATTATCATTGGTGGCCATGGCTAACAAAGCTTTGAAGAGTAGGAACTTTAGGATTTGGCCATATAAAATTGACTTTCACAAAAAATATCTTTAAGACTTATCAAATTATCAAATACTATAAATCTGGCTCTCATGAAAATATCCATGACTATGCAAACAGAATAATTTCACATAACTTTGAGCTCTTTGTTCACTGATAAATTATACTACAGAATTATATTAAAAACTGAACCCACTCCTGATGTTGAAAGAGTTGCTTAGCTAGGATATTCCAAATCTGACCAAACTGATCCATGTAATCATTCTCAAACACAACACGAGAGGAAGAGAGGGGGAAGATTTTGGTCATTATTGGTTTAGCGCAAGATTATCATGAAACACTACTCTGTGTATATTAGAAACTAATGTAACAAAATCAGGAAAGGGAAGAAACAACCACAATTACTGTACTGGATGAGATTAAATTTGTACTTAAATTTGCAGCCTCATGTATTGCTAAAATAGCAACATAAAAACAAAAATGAAAGAAATCTGAATTTCAAAATAGTTATCGAAGTGAAAACTATTAAAACATTAATTATGGCTCTGTATTTTGGTTGTACAATTAAAATGAGAAGCTTAACACATAAACACAATGTAGGTCTCTCAAACTTGTGTAATGTTATTGGGCTTATTTTTAGTTTCAAACCTGTGAGTCTATAAAAGACAATTTTGGGGGGCATAAAAAGTGCAATGTTCAATACGTTTACACTAACCTCACCAACAAATTATACACTTGGCAGTTTTAAACTCTTTGGCAATGACCAAAACCTGCATGGTTCCATCTAGGTTTTGCACACACTTTCATGATGATATATAATTCAGTTTACAAAAGTGAATGGAACTGCACCAAGGTTTGCGTATTCCAAGTTATGTGCATTCTGCATCCACAGAAGCCACATAAAATTTATGATCAGAGACCATAAAACCATTCTTTTCCATTTGGACGAATTTTAATAAATAGATATATATAAGCAGATTTATTCGAAGAGGACCTTTTTCTCCTCTTTTTTCTGTGAGAAAAATTTTGACTTGCATCTTTTCAGGAGAACACTGCCGTGAAGCTAAAGATAGCATATTATACCTATACTTTCAAAGACAACTGTTTAGTAACTGATTTCCTGTACAGATTGGCTATGCTTCCCTACATTAATCATTAATTTACATGCAATCCAGGAATCTTATATGAAAAAGTGGTGAGTTTGCTTCAGCCATTCTGTCACTGTAAAATCAAAAGTCTATCTATAATCTCTTAGATATTCCTACGTTCACTGACCTCACTGTTCCTTCTGAATCTCCTAAATTGGAAGCGCTGAAGTATGGATTATGACTACGGGAACTCTTGAAAAGAAACAATTGTATACATATTAGATTTGGTGATAATAAAAACTTTTGCTTGGAGAAATTATCTAGTTCAGAGGTGTCAAACACGTGGCCCACAATAGGCCGCAGAGTTAGTCTGCGGGCCATCATGGAGACAGTGAGGGACCGGCCCCTGCTGCCCCGGCCCCGGCTACACTCACCCAGTCAGCCGCAATAACCAGGCCATGCCCACTTCGGCCCACCAATGGCAAACAAAATCCCGACACAGCCGGCGGCAGGATCGAGTTTGACACCTCTGATCTAGTCATTCCTTCTGGTTTCATGGTTGTTTCTTCCTTCCAGATCCAAGTAAAGCAGAACAGGATATATTATCAAACTGCCATTTAAATCTTGTTAGGAAAGACAATCAAGACCTCCTCAGAATTTTCATTTGGTGTCAAAACTTTGGTGTGAGAGGAAATAATTGAATTAGATTATCTTGATTATAGGCCCAAGCAGAAGAACCATATTAGGTTGCCCTAGTCCAAAATCGCCAGATACTAACAATTTATTCCATGTCCATCTTGGATTGAAGATGCAGGTATCACTGACTTGTTTTTGCCATCCCACAGTCCTATTGCAGGCTTTTTTGAAGCCAGAATTAACAGATGTGAACAAAAGAAAGTCTCCTGCGGAATTGAAAGAATATGATGTTTCTTTTGAAAGTTTTAAGATATATGGACTTTTCAGAATATTTGATTCCAATATATTACACAAGATTCCTTTAGAAAACAACAATTCCCATCCACTTTTAAAAAAGAAAAAGAAAAGAAAAGAAAAAAGAAGGAACATCACAAGACAGATGTGTTCAGCCAGTTCTGGATTTAAAAGAATCTAGCTATAGAAATAGTTTGAAATAAAAGTGAACTAAGAAATATAGTCTTTTCACTGGAGGAAACTGATTTCATCTGGTATCTGTAATGTTACAGATGTGGCTCATTTTGTCTACAGCTCAACATCATCCTGAAGCAACTCTGATTCTTCTTCATCCAGTAAGAGGCTGGGGTTTATCACTTCAGCACTGTCAATTACTTCTCCCAGTTCCTGTACAACATCACTGCCAAGGTCGTTTCCCTGTTCGACTTGCTTTATCAAGTCTAAATGATCCAGGGGAATCAAGCTGTGTCCTGGTGATCCAGCAGTCCTTGCAATTGTGGCTGCCATTTCGGCTGCCACAGCAGCCTTCTGGGCTTTCTGCCTCTGCTGTTCTTCCTGCTGGCGGTGGGTCTTCATATGAGCATTGCGACTTTTGATTTTGAAAAATATCCTAATACAATATGAAAAGGGAGGGGAGAAAAGGGAATCTGTATAAATTACAGAAGTATATTACATTTTCTCCAAGAATTACACTTCCTCTGGGGAAGAAGGGGCTGATCCTTCACTGCCAATCAGATACAGGTAATCCCCGGGATATGAGCGTTCGAAGTTACACGATAAACACTCCCAGCCAGTGCTGAAATTCAAATTTTTTTACTACTGGTTCTGTTTGCAGATTAGTCAGCTGTTTCATAACATCCTGTGTGGGCGAGGTCCTAGCTGTGTGCCCATTAGTCTTTTGTGTTGTAACGACCTGGGTAATGGGTTGTGTGGTAGCATCCTGAGCTCTATTGTTGTGACATCCTGAGTCCTGTGCTGCAACATCCTGGGTAGTTGGCTAGGACCTCGCCCACACAGGATGTTACGAAACAGCCAACTAATCTGCAAACATCAATTCCATCAACTAATCAAGATGTAATAACACAACCAACCAACCCGCTTACAACAACAAAGCCAGCACTCCCCGCCTCCCCACCAGTATTTATAGAGAGAGAGCATCTCCGATCACGCTTTCCTCGCACAAACACGAAGCCGAAGACACCAGTCTGAAGATGACGAGTGGGACCTCGTCGAAACGTCGCCAAGATACTCTCAATCTTACACAGGAAAAGACCCGAATACGCCAAGACTTGCATACATGTACCTGTGAAAATCTACGAAAACAAATACATACATACATACATACATACATATACACACACACACACACACACACACATATATATACACATACATATGTATACATATACACACACATGCACACATATCTATATCTATCTATACACACGCACACACAATAAATACATAAATACATTGACTCTGGTACTGGCATAAACAAAAAATTTCCGGCTAAGCATATACTCACAGATACATTCTCTTCATTCAAATCCTGTTGCCCAAATAGGGAGATCCTATACATTTGAAGTCTGTGAGGCTGAAAACTTTCAAGGGCATACTTTGTTTCTATTTATAGCTTTAAAAACAGAATGCTAAGGAGTTTTCTACAATATCACCCAATAGGGCTGTAAAACTAATGTCTCTTGCTCCGCTTCCTTAAGCTTCCTTTAGCAATCAGCTAAAGATGCAGATCTCAGGTTAAAGTAGCATAATCCTGAGCAAACCTCTGGTATGCAGTAAATAAAAATTGTGGTTTGGAAATAGCATTGGCTGGATTGACATGTCATGTTAAGCTAAAACCACATGATATACAGTATAAATTCCACCTCTATCTCAAGCCAAAAGAGGGTTAGGTTTGGTTTATGACATCTTAACACAGTCTAAATTGTACACATTATATTTTACCACTCTATTATACAGTGATTTGGAACAGTCTTCTGCATCCTTGTTGCTTTCTGGATACTTTAGAAGTACAATTCCCAGAGTTCCCAGCAAGTATGATTGGGTACCTGGCTAAGGCTGCATTAGGCTTAATCTTATTCATTAAGGCAACTTCCTTACTTTGTTGGGGAGTGATTTTCACTGAGCTTTCTACATAGAGAATCACGGATTCTAGTTTCTGTGTAGACATCTTTACTTACTTGCCACATTCTTTACAGGGGAAAATTGTAGGTGGATCTGTCTCACCACTTGTTGTGCTATGAGCTGGGGAACTCTTGACAGAGCAATAGTCATTCTGAGAATTCGACTTCTGTTTAGTGCCAGAGCCACCACAGCGGCTTTTGACCACAGGATTTGTACCACCGTGAATACGTGCATGGCCATTCAGGGCTTGTCTGGAAGTGAAGATCTAGAGGGCAAATAAGTCAAAAATAGGTTTTCTGAATTAAAGTTTTTTTAAAAATCTGTAACAGTGATACTGAGTTCCTCAAATGGTATCTTGCCTGTTTTCTTAATGAAAGATAATTTGTTTTGAACTTTTTATTTCTGACTGGCCAGTTATATGCATGAAGACAGCTTCACCATTCATCTTCAGCACAGCTTTTGAACGGATAGTCATTTAGCTATCTTGGCTAACAGCTATGATCAAAACCACATGCCTACAGAAATCACCCACTCACACCTTCGTCAAGCCAAATGGCCAACAATGTCTTTACAATTACTGTGAAAATTTCTAAACTAATATCCATGACAGAAGATATCAAAGTTATACTTCACTTTTATTATTCATAAGGTTAATCCCAGGCATAGGCTAAACCAGTCCTAAGCAACTTTTTTTAGTTGCTTGGAGCCACATTCAACTTTGGAGGAAAGAAGGAAGAACAGAGCAGTTGATGGGGGCTTTGCGGAATGAGAGAACTCGCCCTAGCCTACTTGCCATGGCCAATTCACCACAGTTAACTCACCATGGCGAATACGCAGCGGCCAATTCGCCATGGTCAATTCAATGTGGGAGAATTCGCCATGGCCAACTTGCCTCAGGACAACTCACTGTGAGACATTTCAACAATTCAATTTAATTATTTAAAATAATTAAACATTTATTTTAATTTTTGTCATTCACATTTTATTTTGTCCCTCCTTTGGCATCCTTGTTGTGGCCCCGCCCTCTGAGCCTGTTCCATCGGAGGAAGAAAGCTCCGAGCATGAGGAAGAGGAGTCAGCCAGGCCTCCCTCTCCAGGCCCCTCCCCTCTGGCACTGTCTCAGGTGCCGGCCGAGGGAGAGGAGATTAGCAGAGAGACAGGTGGCTCGGATGAGAGCGAGGGAGAGTCATCATTCCTGGACGCACGCCTCCGAAGGCATGATAAACGATTGCAGCAGCTCAGGAGGCGTGCTAGGGATTAGAACTGAGTCACTGGACCACACCCCAGAGACTATATAATAGAGGGTGGTGACCAGTGATCCTTGTGACGAACAAAACTAACCTTGGATAGTCACTAAAGCCTCGTTCGGAACTGCTGGGAGGAATATTTATTGTTGTTGGACGTTTGGAAGCTGAGTATTTATCTTTCTGTTTTCTGTGGAAATAAAAGCACTTGGCAGACGGCGTGTATATCGCTGCCAAGTTGGAGATAAAGAGCTGGGTGTGTTCCAAGTGCTTCCTTAACCCTCGGCTGGCTGTGTTTGTGTGTGTGTGTGTGGACGGGGACAGATCAATCCTTTTAAAAATTATTTTGACTATTTCTTCAATGTTAGTGTAACTCTTGTCCTGCAGTGAGTTGTCCCATAGTGAGTTGGTCATGGCAAACTGTCCCGTGGCAAGTTGTCCGTGACAAGTTGACTAGAGTGATTTGACTGTGGCGAGTTGGCCATAGTGAGGTGTCGCCATAAGCTAAGCGGGGAGGACTGGGGAATGGGCAGGACCACCTTTGGGGGATTTGGTGGGCATTGGTTTATTTTTATTTTGTTTTGTATCTCATTCCCCTTATTCACAGCTCTATGTGAATAATATTACAGGATGAATGTAATAATTTAAATATGTTTCTATTACAAAATGGCAGGAAAGTCTCCTGCTGTTGAAATTTTGTTATGTAGTTAGATGAAGACACAAAAATGGAATTTAGAAGCCATAGGTCTAGCCTAATTACAGAGTAACTGAAGTCCTGGGAACCCCACAATATAGTTAAAGTACCATATTGGTTGAACATGAATTAATTAAAAAATAAATTCATTAGTCTTCTAGAACTACATGTTTTTCTTCCTTGTTGAAAATTATTGTGGAATTGGGATCGTAGAAACACCCAGGAGCATAGAAGAGTTCAGAGGCAGATGCATAAATAAATATCTTAAACGTATTTATTCATATGATAAATCATATTAACTATGTACAACAGAGATCAAGTCTCATGAGGAACAAACATAAGAAGAGAGAGATGGAGAGAGAGCAAGGTGGAAAAGGTTGGAGGGGGTTTTATACTCAGGGTAAGCCCCTCCTTTCCACATAGGGGTGGAGACACTCTCTGCCTCCACTGGTGTCTATATGACACATGTGCCAATGGCTTGCAAATACTTGACAGTTATACATCACATTTTCCTAAGAGTTTAGAGTGGCTTATATAAGGATCTTCCTTTATTTCATACACCCTCTGATACAAGTTGGATTGTATATGTGACTGGCTCAAAGACTCCCAATATGTTTCCATGGGTTTCTGGTGTCCTACATCTGATATCTTAAGGCCTATGCCACTCTGGGCATCAATGTAAGAGATTTTGCATCCAACATCAATTACTGAATGCATACTGTGAAGTCAGAGAACTGCAGAGATTAGCTGCATCTGTATCCACACACGTCTGCATGTGTGTATTAACATATTATTAATTTGATTGGCTGCAGTCCACCAGATGTTTAGCCTGAATTTGACAATTTTATCCACCTATCAAGTCCTTCCCAAGGACCTGGCATAGGCAGCTGATGTTGTTTGATGGTGTTAAATTTATCACTGCAGATTGTTAAGATGCTCCAAGAAAAGCTGCCTTTTGCAATTGACAGATGGTGATTTTGTCAATGCCTATGGTGTCCAAGTAGTACTCCAGATGTTTTGGGATTGCATCCAAGGCACTTGTTACTATTTGTGTTATCACTGCTTTCTTTAGCCACAATTGATTCCTTTCTATTTACAGGTCTTTTTATTCTGTTACCTTATGCGTGTATTACTGTATTAATAATTACACTTACAGCCCCACAGTCTGGCATTTCACAGATAAAAGAGGTTGCAGGTAGCCCAAGGCTTGGTAGAGAGGGAGAGTTAACGGGTGATGCAACAGCAATAGACGGTGGGTCAGGGGAATTCTGAATTTCTGTATCCTCTTCTTTTACAGATGCTTTTTCTTCCTCAGTTTGCTCTTCACCTTCCATTTCCTCATCTTCACCACTTGTCTAAAATTCAAAGACATGCTAGATGATAATGGAGTAACAGTATAAGAAACTCTTAACTGCCCACATATAGAGATGTTAAAAAAGGATTGAAGTAACTCATATGTACCTACAGATAATCCTTGATTTACCTCAATTTCGAACAGTCACTAAAACAAACTAAGTGACTTGTGGCCATTTTTCTCATTTATGACCTTTGTAGCATCCCAATGGTCATGTGATCAAAATTCAAATGGTTGGCAATTGACTCATGTTTATGATGGCTGCCGTGTCCTGGGGTCACGTAATCAACTTTTGTGACCTTCTGACAAATAAGGTCCATGGGGAATCCAGATTCACTTAACAACTGTGTTACTAACTTAATAACTGCAGTGATTCGCTTAACAATGGTGGCAAGAAAAGTTGCAAAACTCACTTAACAACTGTCTTGCTCAGCAACAGAAATTTTGGGCTCAATTGTGGGCCCAAAGTTGAGAGCTATCTGTTCTTTGTTTCAAGATCAACAGGTAGATCTAATAGATCTAATATTATTAATTACTAAATAAAGACAAATCTTCTCCAGGTCTGTTTTTTAAAAAATCTGTTTTGGAGGTGAGAGACAGGTTTCAAAACCATATTTAATTAGAGAGAAAATTAATTGACATCATTATTCCTTACAGAATGTATTATTCAGAATAACTAAATATGATGAGGTACTTTCAAGTTCCTCTTATTGCTCTAAAGGTGTTCTGTATTATATAGAAAGGCAACTTCTCTGCACTGGAAGAATCAAGGTAAGATGCTTTATAGGAAGTTCAATTCCTTATTCATATATATTAATATTATTCCGACTAGCAATGGCTCTTAAGTAGAATTATTTGATTATCAGTTGCTTCGTGATTCTTTAAAACTAGAAGTCCCAGGTTCCTTCTGGATATATAAGGCAATCTATCAATCAAATATGGATCTCCCAAGAAAATGTTGGGAATTCCAAACTAGAAGCAGTAACACCAATTTCTATACCCAGAAAAACTCTATACTACTGTGGTGCTTGCTAAGAACTGCAATCAATTATTTTAGGATAAAACAACACACATTCTTGTAGCATGGACCAGGTTACAGCATATGTATAACTATCTTACTAAAATGTTTCTTCTCACAAGTGAGAGAAGTAATAATCAAATATATAAATATAAATATTATTATGGATAATGCAATTTTATGTACTTCAAAACTAAAGGAAGTGAGGCTTACTGGGCATTCAGTTTTTACTTCTGCCTGCCGAGTTCTGTGCCGTCGTCCTAAATGCATGATTTTCTTCCACGTATAATAGTATTCAACACACTGCGCGACTGTCTTAGACTTCACCTATAATCGTACAATAATTCAGACTCTGCATTAGCACATTGTCAGCTACCATACAACATGAACATGAACATGCAGCACACACACTACAAAAATTTCTCAACATATATTCAATAGTACTGTATATATAGTTTATTACAATTTCAAAATTTTGAAGCAGTATCAAAAATTTAGACTTTGGTTTTGGAGCTTACTAACATGATACATGCATGACTAAAGGGTTAAACCATTTTAAACCCGGGCTAATTCCTCTATTGAAACAGATTATACTGTGACAGACAGTAAATTGTTGAAAATCAAAGAGTGAACTTCAAAGCTGAGCAAGGGATTAAAACCCAAATCTCCACAAACTGAGATACATGGATGGATGGATAGATAGACAGACAGACAGACAGACAGACAGACGAACGAACGACAGACAGATTCATGAAATTAATTAATGGTCAAATTGTCAGGTATTTTAAAAATAACAAATTCTTGCAGTTGGGACTTCATCGAAGTCTAAACACACAAACTTTCACTTAAAAACTATGCCCACTGGAATTAGCCTAGCAGATAAGTAATAAGTGGTATTCAGAAGATCATGAAAACAAGAGAGAGGGACAGCTCACCATTTTCTGCACAAAAATGAAATCTTTGCCATATGTTGCCAGTGCTTTACTGAACAATTTTCTTTCAAAGGGTGTCCACTGATCGGAACCTGAAGTAAATGAACAGGTGAGAACCATTATACTTTTTACTGTCAAATGAGTGACTTTCTTTCTCAGTGCTCAGCCAACAGCACCTGCCCTGATAGAAGCTCCCATGTGGAATTGGCAGGCTCTCTATTTTAGTACTTACCGGCATAATGGTAATTGGCTAGAGGGTGTGATTTTGCTCTTTTTGGTTTCAAAAGAAGAAGCATTTCCAGAGCAGCCTGCAATATTAACAGAGACAAAGCAAATCAGGATTGTACGTGATTTGTAATTATTAGAATTGCACTCAATCTTTTCTCAATTAATTATTTTAATACATTTCCAATTTTCCTATTTCCTTTGCCTATGATATGCTACATTTTAAAACTGCAGAGCTCTTGCTGGACTTATTTATGCAGTGACTGGTTGAACTAGGTTGTTCCTTGCTTAACTTGCTATCCTCTGAACAGTTGGAATGGAAAGGAACTGGAATTTATTTCTGAGCGCATATAAAATATAAGATATTTTATTAGCTACTAGACATTTCTAGCCATAGGCTTCTTTTTCTTAAAGAACTGAATATGGGTTTTTAAAATAAAGAACCATATTCGAAAGCTTTCAGAAGTTGCACTAAAGAAAGAAAAATCTCTTTAATGGCAAGTGAGATTATTTCACAATTACTTATTCAAACATTTTCTTGATGTCCAATTACTTCATGAAATCTGTTACTATTTTTAACATGTTCTGTAACCTACCATAATATTTCCTTTAGCTTCAAAGAGCGAATGCAAACCATATTCTATGTTGGTTCCTCCACCAGTTAATATGCTCGAGCAGCACATATTTAAGAGATTGGTCACTGTAATAAGAAAACAAAATTAAATTTCTCAAACAATTCAGCTGCTGAATGCAGAAACATAACAAGAATGCATAAAGCCAGTGTAAAGACACTAATTCTAACAAGTATGAGTTCCTATTTTGAGACAGCTGGGGCACAATAGGAGGCAGTTTATTTTAATTACTTGCTGAGATTTCTCCTCCTCCAGATGTGATTGTTTTTCTATTCTTTGAAGTTTTCTCTGTGGTGGTTTTTAGCTTGCTTTATTGTTTGGTGTGTGTGTGTGAAGGACGCTTTTCTATTAAACATCATTCTGAAGTCTACAGGTTGTCCACGCTTTGCAATCTGAAAATGGGGAAGGGTTCCCTTTGGATGCTGCCCGCTGGATTTAACAGAAACACGGAAAGCCAAAACATTCACACACTCCACTTAATCACCTCAAATGCAGAAATACACATCCTTGGAACAGCATTAATTTGTTTAAAAGGGGTAGATGAACATAGGTGGAAAATATTATTTTTTAAAAATAAAACAAAAACAGGCAATGGTGACATAGATCAAGTATCAAAGTAGCAGAAGATTGAACATGATGTAAAAGATATAAGTTACTTGTTTGCACCAGTGCTTCCCAATTTGTGGCAAAGGTAAATTAACTACAGGTACATCTGTTGGAAAGACACCCAGTTGGAAAAAGAATGGGAAGATAGGGAAGCTAGCTTCAACTGTAGGAGGCAGGCAGAATGGTTCAGAACCGTTCCAGAAGATCGGACAGAAAATCCCAAAAGATTATAAGGAAGCAGATTTTGGCAAGAATCAGAAAATATTTCATAATGGTTAGAACAGTCAGGATTGCCTCCTATGGGCCATTTTCAGACTGGGCAGCATGGGCATTAGGAGTTTTAAATTGATGGAAAGATATGAAACAACAACCAATCTGGATTGGTCACGGGGACCAGAGGTTTAGTCTTCCGATCTTTCAAACTTGTGCTTGATATGAAACACATTGCCTAGTGAGATTATGAAGTCTCCTTTGTTGGAGATGTTTAAACAGGAGATGAATGATCACCTGTCAGGGATGTTATGGTGTTGGATTTCTGCACTGAAGACTGATGATTCTCAGCTCCCTTCTTATATAGTATGATTTTAAGATTAAGTACCGGTTTAAGAAAGCAATTAATTGTCACTCTACAAATCAGCCGAATCGAATGATAAACAAAGAAAGCATACGTAGTAGAAATGAACAGTTTGTGAAGTAGATTTGGGTATGAAGAGGATAAGAGAGAAATATTCTTAGGCCAGAAGGGCTAAAATGGAACCTGAAGCATTTATGATAATTTTAAAGCAAGGATGCAGACCTCATAAATAAAAAAGCCAGACACATTTTATGTGCTGCTGTATAATTATGAATTCTATTGTCCTGTGGTATATCAGTTTTTAGAAACACATACAGGAAGGATCAGGAAACCAATACATTCATATTAAAATGAAAAAGAAGGTAAAACAAATGAAAGTCTATTGTTTTCTCACACAGTTCTTAAAACAGGCTAAAGGGGAAAATAAGCATTTTTGTGATTATACCACTTCAAAACATCTGGAAGAGATTCTTTTCTTTTTGTAACTCTTTTCTTATTTATTCCTATGGTATTTCTCTGATGAACATGTATACAACAGCATGTTGTGAAAATGAGTGTTAATTCCCAACACAAAATATTGCAAAGGATTATAGAGGTATTCACTATTCTTAGTGAATAGAGTCTTTTGAAGAAAACCAGTTTAGGGAGTATAAGGCTAGCCCAATGAAGAATTTACATAAACAATGTAGGGTTCAATGTATACTGGAGGTTTTTATGTTATATTATATGTCAGGTCCAAGTATCCAATTGTTATATTATATGTCAGGTCCAAGTATCTTTTCTGTTTGAAAAGGATCTGATGGAGACTTACTTCTAAAGAAAATGGATAAATAAACCATTTTTCCTTGGTTCTCTTTCCTCCTCTGGTGTCTGACATTCACCTCCAGAAATTATGAGCGTAAGGAGATCAGAGTAAACTGTTATCTACTCCCATTCTTTAACAGTAGAATCTACTGAACATAGACTTGATTCAACTCTTATTTGTTCAGTGAAGTAACAAGAAAATCTAAATTTTTAAAGCTAACAGACAGCAATTCTGAAAAAGCTCACTTTTTTATTTCAAACTATGAGTTTGGACTAATCCCTATTACCTACCCAAAGTGACCTTGGTGAGTGGGTGGCGATATAGATAAAACATAGCAAAGCAAAAATTCACTCTTTTAGGTAGTACCGGTATAAAAATATAGTACCTCTTTGTTCAAAAGTTTTGTCCTCCAGTTCTGGCCATGGTTTCCAAACTAAAGTTGCCTTGTGATCCTCCTTCTCCACCATTGCTATATCTTTAAGTTCAGGGATATCAGCCTGAAATCTTGAGCCAATGTTGATACACCTCAAAGAAATAAAAATATTTAAAGCATTAAAAATGTAAGTCTATTGCAGAGCCTTCCTAAGTCCTTCTCTTCAGAGGAGCCTAAAGAGAAGGATTTAGGAAGAAAATAATGGCAGGAAAAAATATCACTCATGTAGCAAAAAAAAAAAAAAAAGACATTAAGGCAGAAAACAGAAGTGGCAAAGATAAAACTAATGAAGCAGAAACTTCATATAAAGTGGATTATTTCCTTACAGAATCAAGCTGAATAGATGGCATACTGTGTTCTTCATCAAAATCATCCCAGAAGGAGCCAGGAAAACACAGTCTGTCAAGAGCAACACCTTCTGATCATGAATGAACAATATGACTTATTTCAGGGGTGTCAAACTCGATTTCATCGAGGGCCTCATCAGGGTTGTGTTTATCTCGGGGCACCAGACTGGCGTGGCTGGGGTGGGCATGGCCAGCTCATCACTTGCGACAGACTCCTGCAGCCCTCTGCCAGCGAAAACAGAGCTGGGGGGGGGGGGCACATGCCCCTCCCAAGCTCCATTTTCACTGGCAGAGGCATCACGGGATCTGGCCCACAGGCCTTGAGTTTGAGTTTGACACTCTGATTTATTTGAAGGACCATCTCTTCTGGATTACATTTACCTGCCACATTAAATCTGGCAGGATTGCAGGTCCCATGTACAAAAGAGTTCCATCTGACAGTACCTAAGAGATGAGGCTTTTTGCCATGGCATTTGCCCTCTGGAACAACCAATTGCTGTGGTGGCACAGTGGTTAGAATGCAGTATTTCAGGCTGACTGTGGCCACTGCCAGGAGTTCAATCCTGACAGGCTCAAAGATCTACCATCCTTCCAAGGTCAGTAAAATGAGGATCCAGAGCCATGCTGAGCTTTCATTTCCCAAAATGCCACTGATGGCCAATATTTGAGGTCATACTTCATGGTTTAGTTCAGGACTGCAGTTTTATAATACTTAAATATGTTGCTCTGAAAACCATTTAAAAGTAGCTTCCAATGTAACCAGTTGAGCATAAACAAAATAAGATAAGAAGCCTTGATGCATACACAGAAATCTGATAGATTCACAGGAATGATTTGTATCTCAACCATTTTTTAAAAAGAAACACACACACTCTCCCCTCCAACTCCCAATCAATACAATTTGTGTTGCATGGGATATTACAGCTCTCTACAAAAGACTTACGGTTCAATATGAATAGTCTGTTCTCCAGGTCTTGGGGTCATAGGAACACTATTTCCATCAATACTATCTGCAAGAAAAATGATAATATAATTTTCTCTTTTTGTCTTTGCTCACTAACCAAGTTTCTGAAGTCTGTCTTCTTTTCTTACAGAAAACAACATTATATTTAAATAAAGAATATTTCTCACCCTAATAATAGAGTGAATACCCATTTATATGCAGTTGACCTTTGGGCAGTTTTGAAAGAAGTGTCATCAGGTCGTAAGAAAACTGCTCTAATGAAGGTATTTGTCAATCAAATGCCCTCCAAATATATTGAGTCAAGGCCTGGCTAGGGATACTGTGACTTCTCCATAACTGGAAGGGGTTGGAGTATGGAAGGTCACCCTATGGAGCTAGTACCAGTCCAAAAAAACAATTTATTAACCAGACCAACAGATCATGTAGAACCTACTTTTTACGTTTAATTGTATATTTACATATGCATTCCCCACTGTTTAGAAAACAATTACTATCAGGATTCTCACATGATATACTACTTTGTATTTTATTTTACACTCCCAAGACAATTATTCAAGACTGCAAGAATTTTTTTTATATCTGCAGTGATGAGATTAAAAAAAAATGTTTCCATGTGGTGTAGCAATGCTGTCAAATTTGCTAGTTTCAAGGACATGGTTGTTTTCATCAACTGATTCCAGTAAAAATGGAAAGTCCACGGTGATGAAAAATTAACATAATGACCTACCCTTGCATTTATGACCTTCACAGGTCTGTAAAGCAAAGCAAAGCAGAAGTAAGATTATAAGTACGGTCACAGTTTCACTGAGCAATCACTTTGCTTAATGACTGAATTGTGGTCACTGAACAAGCACTGCTGTAACTGAATTTCTGGGCCACATTTAGGAGATAAAGGAAGAAGCCCAAATCAGCATGCATGGATTTTCTGCATTTCTTCGTGAACCCATCTGAAACAAAGTAATTATATCTAGATGTGCAGGAACACTATAAGAAGTACAAAGCAGAATCAATTTAAGCTAACGTTATTATCATTCAGAAGTAAATAAAACTAGTAGTTCTTATGTGAGCAACGTCTATACTACACTACAACATACTTACTAGATTGACAGAGGAGAATCCGGGGAGTGGGTGTCAGGGGGGTAAGGGGCAGCTGGGGATGAGATGTACCATGAGAAGATATGATGACGCTGCTGAAGAGTCCAGATCCTTGCCGTATGGGGCTAAGCATGGGAGGTGGTGTATAAGGTGGGGGATTATGAGTCCTGTCAATTATATGGTCTCCTAAAACACGGGGAGAGCGAAGTTGGCTTTGGTACAGAGTAGCCCCTGAGTGAGATGCACTGAGATTGAAGGAGGGAGGTGGTATGAAGAGTGGTTCAGGTCTGTGGCGGTATTTTTTCCTGTCTTGAAAAGATTTGATATTTTCTTCAGAGTTGGTGATACTTTGGTGATGCTTTCTATTGGGCTCCTGAAAATACAAAAGTTGTTGTTTTAATAGTAAGTGTATTCAATCATACATCAGTTAGCCCAATACAATTTTTCAGTGAAACATCAAAACGTGGACTAAACAATGAATCTTCCAACTTACTGCCTTCTGACTTCAACAGAGCAATACATCTACTCTTATTTTACTATTGGGAATCAAGTTTAAAGAGGAATTTCCAAATTACTTCCTCTCATGACAGCCTGCCAGCATTTTAAGATCCAATGGAGAGGACTTTTTTATGCCAGAACTGTAGTGAAGACCAGTGACGAGAATGGCTTTATCTTCATGATGAAATTTCCTGACTCAGGAGACTAGATTGCCTAACTTTTAAATATCCTGCCTTAAGTTGCCATTTACTAAGGAAGGCATTTATAGGAATGGAGCATTTATTTATTTTCACTGCTGCATTTTAGTCCCTGCCCCTCTTTTTAATATTCTGAATCCACCATGAAAACCCTTAATGATTTTGGATTAGGAATCTACATCCTCATTTAGCTATTGAGCACTCTGGATGACTTAAGGCAATCTCTTTCTCTCAGAACAAACTAGCACATAGATTACAAAGATAAAATAAGGAATGACCCCACATCTTAGCAGAAGGCAGGATACAACAATAATAAATAAATAAAATATAATAACATTTGTCCCATCTTGTCCTAGTTTGTTCATGATATATCAAGGGAGGGATTTTTCAATTGGTGAGACACATTCACCAAATTAAACTTAGCGTGGACTGTGGTAAACCAGAGACCTTTCTGCTGACCTGGGATCCACTCTTTGGGTACATCAGCACAGCCTGAAAAATATAAAACTATTATTAAACTTGTACAGCTTCATCCGCTGGTTTAGTTTTGTAATAAACTTTCATTATTAAAAGTAGTCAGGCCTTTCTTACTGATGCATGACTTCCTGTATTTACATTTATGTCACTTTTTAAAAATAAGTCCTATAGATTTTGCTTCCTGTTTATTTTGTTGATAGACTGTAATTATTTTTACTATTGCTCATATTTTACCCGTTTTTTTTACTTGTGAAATTGTATTTCACCAAACTCTTTACATATAAAAAGTAAAACAATAAAGTTATAGGGTGATTGGATAAAGGCACCATTTAATTTTCAAGAAATAAGGGCCTGGTGGCTCAGCAGACTAATAGCATTGTGATTAACACCAGCTGTCTGCAATTACTGTAAGTTCGAATCTCACCAGGCTCAAGGTTGACTCAGCCTTCCATCCTTTCTAGGGTAGGTAAATTGAGGACCCAGTTTGTGGGCGCAATAAGCTGACTTTGTATAAATATACAAAAGTATGAAGGCTATTGCTTAACGCATTGTAAGCCGCCCTGAGTCTCCGGAGAAGGGCGGGATATAAATCAAATTAAAAATAATAATAATAATAATAATAATAAAAATAATGATCAACCAGTAATTAAGTGAAGAATGATCCAGAAAATCTGTTAAAAACTTGTCCTACTATTTTAAAAGCAGTTGTATTAGGAACTCAGACATTGGTCTAATGGAATGTAATACTGTGAGGTTGCTCCTTCTCGGATCATCTCCCACAACTGTCCTTTCCTGGAGTGCATGTTCAATTTTCTTAGGAAAGTAATGCAAAAGGACCTCCCCCTTACAGATTTCTTTCCAAACTACTGTCTGAAGCTGCTGTTAAATTAAATAACAAAAAAGGAGCGAACCAATGCACTGCAGTTCTGTTAAACACTCCCTAGGTTGAACACTCTAGGAAGGGTAGAGATTTTAAAAGATCATCTGCTGTCTGCTTCTACTGTTTCAGACTGCACTTCCCCAAAAGTCGGTTATGTAGCATCAGTTTCCCAAAGAGGAATTATGGAAAAAAAACCAGTGGTAGACAAGTTCATGCATTATTCTTTCTGCTTTTATGAGATTATTTAATTGTTCCTCTGGATTCAATAAAACTGTACTGCTTTTTAGGACAAACCTATGCAGGATAGAATGAATGATGTAATTCTGGATAAGCATGTGTGATATCAGAACCAAGCTATCAGAACTAAGTCCATGCACAAGATGGTCTTTACCAATAATTCATGGGCAATTATTAATATGCGTTTTCCATAATCTCTCAGAGAACCTAACTGGAAAATTTAAACTGGCAGCTGGCTGGCATGGGAGATCCAAGGCAGAGGTCAGGCGTGCTTAGGTTTCAACAGCTTTAGTAGCAACTCCTGGACTTGCATGCTACATGACACAAATTTTACACTTAAGACAGCAGACAGTTATAACTGTGATTTATTGAAAAAAAAGTGATGCTTATCTGAGGAAAAGAAAGCATCAGTCTTAAGCCTTTTACAATGCTTATTATCTGGAAACAATCTCTGGCAAAATGCATGGGCACACAGGCATGCACACAAACACACAAGTAGACCATTTTCAAGAAGAAAACAAACTGGCTCTCAGCCAGCTGCAACAGTAAAATAAGCCAGCACAAAGAACATTAAAGATAACAAATCCCTTTGTTGTTTTCTATTGTGTTTGCTGCTTTGAAAAATTTGGACCATTATAGAAGAGTAATTAACACTGGCTTTGAAATAACTGGAAAAGTCCTCAAAGCATTGATGTAACGCAAAGGGATTTATTAGGCTCCTACGGCACAGTTAGTGGCAAGAAGAGAACACTCACAGAAGAGGTACACGGGCTGATGGCGTTAGGGGAATGTGCTGGAGAACAGATCATCCTCACAAGGACAGGCATCTCATCATCTGAGACAGGCTTGTCTTTGACCAGGGCACAGCCATCTCTGGCCTGCTTGCTGGGCTCAGGCGACAGAACCTTTACAGGGACAGACACAGGCATGACGATAGGCACAAAGCTATCCACTTCGGAGGGCAGCTGTTCCTGCTGGTGCTGCTGTGGCAGGTTCTCCCCATCCTCCTGTACAGACAATTATTAAAAGCTTTCACCCACAACTTCAAACGCCTGGTCATCATTAGAATACTCATAGGCAGCATGAACATTGGGGAAATTTTAGGGCATTTTAAAATAACTATTTTAAAAGAATTATTATCAGGGATTAAAGTTCCTGCTACCTTGGAATAAATGAATTAGCCTCAAGTATTGTTACTACAAAAGATTTAATATAATTCCTCTGTTACAAAAACATATCCTCACTGGAACCCTGTGTCCAAAAGGAACACAAGAAAACTGGACAGAAAGAAATAGAAAAAACATAGTTGTATTGAAAAGTTTCTTGTGCTTAAAACTGTTCAAGCAATAAAGAGGATTCTGAAATATACTCAGTGAGGAACCCTGTTCAACTGGAGGTCAGCCAAAGCCTATGCCCAGATGTAGTTCTTTTCTTATATATAACATCAGCTAACACATCAACAACAATGGAGAATTAATACACGTGGAAGCAAAGCTGGAAAAAGACATTTTTGGGGGGACAATAGCAAGCTCCAGAATATTTTTTTTTTAAAGAAGGACATAGTTAAGCGAGCAGCAAATTTTAGAAAAGGGAAAAGCCAAATATTCAAAAAGAAATACACAAGCATTGATACCTGTCTGAAGATAGGAGATGCCCTTATTCCTCCATGAGATCTCATGTGACCATTTAGAGCTGGTAAACTTTTAAACTCTTTGAAACATACAGAGCACGTCAGTTTGCTCTTTGGTTCGGATCTTTCAATGTATGTTTCTTTATCACAAGCATTGCTGTTACAAAAAACAGAGAAAGAAGGTGGTGTTTTAGAAAGAATGCTCCTAAATACATTATAATTAATATACACAGAACAGTTGGAAAGGGGGGATGGACTCTGAAATCTCAAATGGTTGAATCCAATAAAACACCCAAACAAAATATTCAGAGTTAATTCAGCCATCCCCTAATTCTTACGGTTCTTGCTGTCACATATTATATTAAAACAGTTGCTGGAGGTGTTTTCTGGAAGGGCTCAGTTACTATTAAGAAGATCAAGTTTCACTTCTGCAGAAATGTACTACTGCCTTTGCTGAAAAGTCAACAAAGTCAAAGTTAAGGTACCGTAAATGAATACACAAATAGGACCTAACTTATAACGATTACTGGTATAAACATCTACAGTATAGCAGGGTAAATATTCAGAGCGGTGTTCTCAAAATGCAGAGAAGACACAACAAGGTTAAAGTTTTATCCTTGGGAAGTAACTCCCACTAAGAGAGATACTGGGAGTAATTATATACAGGGTAATATTGAAAATATAGGAACACTCTTCATGTATTACTCAGTGGTCCATTAGATGACCTACCACTGCCTCATCTTTCAATCATCAACACTTGCTCAGATGTAAAAGCCTATGTAAGACCAGATGAGTGGCAGGTTTGATTGCCAGATGGAAGCCTCGGTATATATTTTGATAGTGCAGTCATTTATTCCAACTTGACATCCACTTGGCATCCATGACAAGTGGTATACTTGATGTCAGGGCCTATACTAGCAGTGTACTTGTGTATTCATCTAAAGGCTTTAGGAGAAACCATTTTAACCAAATGCATCTAAATTCAATTGAAATGTAACAAATAATGATTGAAAGCATGTAATACAACAGATATCGAAAAAGCTTTAAGTTATATTTAAACACAGCTATGAGTTTATGCCCTTATGTTAATCTTAGTAAGAATCAGTACTTGGATATTGAAGACTGTAAGAATGTGCCAGTGGGATGTTGACATTGTGATCAAGCTCAAAGCAGGCAATATTCACACATGGCAACAATATTGTAGAGTTCAAATGCTGTAAATATGGATAGTTAAAAAGGAAACAGAAAATAGTGTTGTAATAATTGCAATAATGTAGCAATCTCGGTTCTGTGTAATGAAAAGAAAATGGATGAAAAGCATCATTTTAATTACTTGTTTATATAAACAAAGTATTTAAATTAATTTGTAATGATTCAAGGACTGTTTTAAATTACTTGCTGTTCTCTAGCTTTACTTTTCTTTTGAACAATAGGCAAGATTTGATTTGTTAAAACTGGTAACATTGATAAGTTAATTACTCAATGTCAAGAATGAAACAATTTTACTGATTACACTGATTATGTAATGAGAAAATAAGATCTGATAAGTAACTTGAAAGTCATGACCATAATAAAGAAAGGGAAGTTTGTTAAATCAGATCCTTGAAGCAATTGGTAAGTCCTATTTAACAAAAAAGAAACAATAAAAATGTAAGGTCTAAATGCAAAAACATGCAGATAATTATATTTTATTTATAAAGGGCCTCATCAATTCACCAAATCTGAAACATCAAATTAGCAATAAGCTTTTTCTGTAATTCTTTGCTCTATGTAATGAAGGTAATTTTCCTATATGATTTTTTAATACATGAGCAACACAAATAGGTTGTGCATCTGCATAGGTACAACTTGGCGTTTTCTCTTTAATTATTTTTCCTGGATATGACAGACAGAAGTGCATCACAAAACACAATCCATTGAACTAGTCTGTCCACAAAAGTTTCTTTGCTGGCATCAACACCCATAGCATAGGGTAAATATCTGAAAGCAGATATTTATTTTGAGCAAAGGTGCTAAAGTTGTTGTTCTTTAGTAGAATAAACATACATCAATAGAAGATGTTTTGGGTCATGGTGTTCTAGCCATGAGCTATGAAGAGAAAGAGTGTGTTCTTGCCAGCTACCAGCTAAAGAGAAGACAATGGCTTCTAACTAGCATCCTGTATTTCAGGTAGGAATATTTAAAAAAGAAGCAGGAAAAAAAAACATCCACAGGTAAAATGAAATTTTGCTAATTTAAAAAGGACACCACCATCTAAGAATTAGGTATCAATTCTACTTTCAAAAAACATTCAATGAAAATGAAACTATAGCCTGACTTAAATTGGATCACCATTTCCAGTGGTGTTACAGCATCATCAGAAGACCTCTTGTAATTCCACAGATGGTCCTGCTTGAGGCCCCTCAAAGTTTGTCACACTTATCCATGATACAGTTCCTACAGTTGAAAGAAAAAGCTGAAGGCATAGCTTCAGAATAGAAAGGGGAGGACGAATGATCACAACTAAGATGACTGGAGGTAAATGGAATTTCCCTCCTGAATCTAAAATCACTTATGATCTTTAGATGGCTCCTGTGAAAGCTTGCCAGATAGGCTTTGACCTAGAATAGTTAAATGATTAGATGTAGAAGAAACCTAATTTACATGCCTTAAGGGTTAAGTTTTATATTCTTAACAATTGTCATATGGTCTTCTACCACAGAGTAATATAACGACCACCAACATTATTGCTATATTTCAATATAGCAGTCTAAAAGATTGCTTACAAGATTATTTGTACACTTTTTTGGATTTTTAGGCCATTATTTTGGATTTTTAGAAGACATCAATAATTAATCACAACTATACCTCTGTTCAGGAGAAACTGATGGAAGTCTGCCATCAAGTAACTGGATCTGCTATTAAAAAAGATAGGAGAAATTTAAGTAAACCAGTAAGTTGTTTAATTATAGTCTGCACCACTTTACCTAGTCTAGGTACCCTTCAAATGTACACATGCATACCTTGATCAAGAGGCAAAGCTCTAGAGATAGGAAATTGATTACAGTCAATTGAATGAGTTCTTTTTTTAATGTCCTTAGTTGTTTCTCATGGAACCTCATCAAAACATAGTTTGAAAAAAAAAAACTGGTCTAAAATATTGGGAAGATTGGGGAAGGCATTAAAGCTATCCACTAAGTCCACTAGGAGAAGGGCGGTATACAAATTGAATAAAATAAATAAAAATAAATAAAATAAATAAAGTATCACTCTGCTACCCTGCATAGTTCAGATCTGAACAGGAAGCAATATTGAACTCTTGGAGAAGAAACAAAAAGGCCTCCTGTTATTGTGTTTCTTAGCCAAATGGATGGTGAGGCCTTATCCAACAGACTCCATAGGAGGTAGGCCTCTAAGAATGCTCAATGCACAGTCATTTTTAAATTTCCAATGGAATCTCTACATTTATACAGATTCCCATAAGCAAACACTCTTTAATCATATCTAGAAGCATCTAACCTAGTTTCATTGGCTCATCATAGATGGGACAATTGGAATAAATGCTAAATATTAGGGATTCACAAAATGGCTCTGCCAATAGAAGCATCTGTTTGTCGCCATGGTTTCAAAGAACATAAATTTCGATGCCATAAAAGGCTTCTTCTATTTCACTGGACAACTATCGTTGATAAAAATGCAAAGTCTGAAACCCTGGGTCTGAAGCCACCTCTCCCAAAGCCTTCTAAAACCTGCTACTGAATTATCATTTTTAATGCAACAAAAGGGAAAGTATTAATTTTTTTAAACATAGTTTTACATTTAATTTCAATGGGAGTGATACTGAATGAAGTTTTTGTCCTGGCTCCACCTACTTTTCAGGGGTGTTGTCCCAGCATATTATTGAAATCCAAGTATACATTTCACAAACAATCATGCATGCCTGCCCTATGTTATAAGATGATACAGCTTGTTTCTATACTTAATTATCAGAAAGTACCAGTAAGATATAAAGTTCTACATACCTGTGGCCATACTGCACTGGGAGACAACTGCTGAGGTCTTTTGTTATTCATCTGAACACTTGTTGAAGGTCTAAGAGATTGTTGGGAGATTGTGCTGTCCACAGAATTCAGGCCCTGTGGTGCTGGATCTTCAGTCCCCTCTGCCATAGGGAGTGCCAGGTGCTCATCCATCAATGTCTGAGTGTTACCATCACCCTGGTAATGATCGGGCTGACTGGCATCACCAGGTGGCTGTTGCTGCTGCAGAACACCTTGTGGGTACAAATGTTTGAAGGACTGCTGCTGATCGTGATAGAAATACGGAGGGACTGCTCCTAGCTGTATAAGATGCATGGAATTACCTCGATCTTGGGAGTATTGCTGAGGTTCGTGCAGAGGCTTCTGGTTAGTATCCCTGTGATAGGGAGGAAGTTGTGTTTGTATCTGCTGCTGCTGCTGCTGTTGTAATTGTTGCATCATAGGCTGTATTGGATAATACTGAGCTGTTTGCATTGGGCACTGCCTCTGTTGCTGCTGCTGCTGAGGCTGCATCTCATGTACCAAGAGCCTGTGCTGTCCTTGATGGGGTTGCTGCTGCTGCAGATAGTATTGATCCTGCTGTAGCTGCGGTGGCAGCAAATGTTGAGAATGCATTTGCTGCAAGTGGGCCTGTCCCTGGTGCATGGCAGAGTGCATTGGGATGTGGGCAACATGTTGCTGGTTGTCATAATAAAGAGAGGACTGGTGTTGCATTAACTGCATCTGCTGCTTTTGCTGTGCACTTCCAAATCCTGGATGGACTTGCTGTGGCATCTGCTGGTATCTCGGCACAAGTTGTTGTTCCACAGCAGGTTTCTGAGACAGCAACTGTCGAAGTGCACTATCACCAGCATTCTCCATCACTGGAGGCTGTGACTGAATGTGCTGAGACACATTGTTCACTTGGATTCTTAAGTTTTGGCTAGCAAACACCTGGGCAAAAGAGTCTAATTTATGCAAAACTCCACTGGTAATTTTTTGTGATCGGAGATCATTGCTTTGGGAACAGAGATGGTCAAAGCCATCAACTGGTTCACTTTGAGCCATTGGGTTCCACATGACATGCTGACTGTTTCTTACTGGGAGGTGGTTTCCAGATGCCAAATGGGCCCAGTCTGCTTGCCTGGGAGAATCCATTAGCCCAAGGCCTTTGGGCCCAACATTCAAGGATATGTTTTCCCTGGCATCATGAGGGAACGAGGGAGAGAGAGGAGACTCTGGAGACGTATGCATGGCTGAAGTTCCATAGTTGTGGTTTGCAGATGCCAGGGGACTCAAGTGCTGCTGCTGCTGGTAATATACATTTTCGCTATTGTTAACTATGTGGTTTGTTTTATACGTCTGCTGATCCCCCATTTTCAGCACTTTTTCTCTCAGCAAGAACCATTTAAAAATCAAATACTGTAGTCCTGAGAGAACTTAAAAATAAAACACTGCAAACCTATTTTATTCTTTTGACCACTTGTTCTGGAGAACTGAATTTTTTTTTTACAGATGGTGAATTCTACTCCAGCCTGAAAAAAAGCCTTTACTGAAACCAAGATACTTGTTCGGCTTTAGTCACCTGTAAAGGAAAAAGAAAGGGCTATAACTATGGTTGACCTATACTCTCTCGAACACAACTGTTCAAAACTTTATTCCTATTAGGGAGTGCTGGGCTGTAGTGTCCAGTGAAAGAAGGTTTGTCACATGACTGACGAGGACAAAGGTTCTGGAAGGTGAGTTTTTTTTTTTCTTTCAAGGATGAAGATATCTTGTTGTTATGTGGTTCTTAAGCCTAAATATCTATTTCACAATGTTGCCTACTGAAAAATCTCAACAACGAATCTCATTTAGTGCTTAGTGCTTTGCCGATTTCTAGGTTCTAGGTTCTCTGACGACATAAAAGAGAAACCAGGGGTTATGTAAAATCTATAGACCACAGGTATCAAACTCGCAACATCACGTTGCTGTTCATGTGATGTTTCGCGAGGTTTTTTCCCTTTGCGGAGCTGCGGTGGGCGTGGCCTGCGTGTGATGCATCCGGCCCACGGGCCGCCAGTTTGACATCCCTGCTATAGACTATGTTGCCCACCCATTCAAAAGAATAAATTCATAGTTTACTATGTTCCTAGGTATATCTTTTGATTCTGGAAGTTTAAATAGCTTTAACAGCATGCAGCCTAATGGAAGGCTTGGTTATTCACAGATCATAGCCCTAATGCAGACTTCTTTATAATCCCATGGAGCCAAGGCCCAAAATCTTGAGTGCAAACTTCAAGAAACAGTGGATCAATTTCCTATTGATTTGGGGGGGGGGGAGACAAAGAAGAAAACAGTGCATCAGCCTTCTTTGAGAAATGACACGCCTCCTACCACCAAATGGAAAAAATGCTGTTTCAGCCACTGCAATCCTTACTTGTTCAATATATATGCACACTGTTCTGTCCCCGTCCCACATGCACACACACTAACAGACGTCCAAGAGTTAAAAACCAAACCAGCCGACAAAATCCTTTGCCTTATGATAACGGAACTTGGCAGCAACCTAGTGGCTGCCTGCCAAGAGTTTATTACTCACGAAGAGATAACTTCTCTCCGCTTCTGGTACATCAAAGTAAAATGTTCAATAATTACAGAGTAATTTAAGTCCAAATATAATCCAGCAATGTCTATAGCAAAAGTCCGGCAATGCAGAATGGCGTGGAAGCTTGCAGCTTTGTTCGTCACAAGGCCTGACTGGCCACCACGCTCCCTTTTATACCCTGTAGGGTGTGGTCCAGTAACTCAGCCTAATCTCGGGCACGCCTTTTCTTCTGTTGCGCGCGCTTATTTCTGCGGCGCTGGCGTGGATCCAGCCAAGACTCATTACCCTCATCACTGTCCACCTGTGGCTGCGTGGACGTGCTTGGCCCCGGCCCTATCTCTTGCCCTTCGGCGGACACCGAAGGCATTGCCAAAGAGGAGGGTCCTGGAGAGGGAGGCCTTGCCAACTCCTCTCCTTCACTCTCGGAGTCCTCTCCTGCCGATGACACAGGCTCAGGTAACGGAGCCACAACACACTCCATGTTTTTACCCACACTGAGCTGAATCTTCAGTATTAGCCAGAAAGCTGGCCTGTGATTAAACCTGGCTATATTGGCTATCTGTTTAGTAGCACATTTTAAAATGTTAAGTGTTGTGGCCCCACCCTCTGAGCCTATCTCATCGGAGGAAGAAGGCTCCGAACATGAGGGAGAGGAGTCAACCAGGCCTCCCTCTCTAGGCCCCTCCCCTCTGGCACTGCCTCAGGTGCCGGCTGAGGAAGGGGAGATTGGCCAGGAGCCAGGTGTCTCTGATGAGGGCGAGGAAGGAGAGCCGTCGTTCCTGGATGCACGCCAACGAAGGCGTGATAAACGGTTGCAGCAGTTAAGGAGGCGTGCTAGGGATTATAGCTGAGTCACTGGACCACACCCCAGAGACTATATAAGAGAGGGTGGTGGCTGGTAAAAATCTGTGACGAACAAAAACTAACTCTGGCTAGTCACTTGAACGTCTGAAGCTGCCGAAGGGATATTGTTTTGCTGGACTATTTGCAATGCGTATGTAATTTTATGTTATCTGTTGCAGTAAAACTCTTGGCAGACGGTGCTTATATTGTTGCCAAGTTTGAGATAACGACCTGTGTGCGTGCCAAGTACTTTCTTAACCCTCGGCTGGCTGTGTTTGTGTGTGTGTGTAGACGGGGACAGATCAGTTAATGTTACACTGCTTTGGACCTAACAGAAGGATCCAACAGGAGTCTCTCTTTATGTACAGCATTTTGAGAAGCGTTCCTGCCTCTGTTCTGAGAACAGTCACATAGAAAGAACACTTTCATGTATAGAAACAGAGTCTTATGGGATGTTCTACCAGAGGGAGGCTTAGCTGACACTTTGTTGTCTATGCAGGGCTAGGCAAAGACACATAGAAATCAGTGGTGGGAGTCAAAAATTTTTACTACCAGTTCTGTGGGCGTGGCTTGGTGGGTGTGGCATGGCAAGGATACTGTAAAATCTCCATTCCCTCCCCACTCCAGGGGAAGGTTACTGCAAAATCCCCATTTCTTCCTGATCAGCTGGGACTCGGGAGGCAGAGAATAGATGGGCGGGGCCAGTCAGAGGTGGTATTTACCAATTCTCTGAACTACTCAAAATTTCCGCTATTGGTTCTCCAGAACTGGTCAGAACTTGCTAAATACCACCTCTGATAGAGGTGGTAGAGGCCCGCGGGGGAGGGCCTTCTCTGTGGCTGCCCCAGCTCTCTGAAATCAGTTACCTCCTGAGGTCCAGACCATCCCCACCCTATTGGCCTTCCGAAAAGCGGTGAAGACCTGGCTTTTCCGGCAGGCCTGGGGCCATTGATCTCGCTCTTGCGATCCGGCGAGATCCAGCCGTGAATGGTGTGAATGAGTTTTAATGTTTTTAATGTTTTAAATTCTTAAATGTTTTTATAATGATTTTAATTGCATTGTGAGCCACCCTGAGTCTTTGGAGAGGGGCGGCATACAAATTGAATTAATAAATAATAAATAAATACACCATATTTACACACCAGTCTAAAGAGCTAAGGATACACAAGCTAAGGGAGAAATCAAAAGAGGAGAACATATCCTCTCCAACAGCCAGATAAAAAGGGATTAAAATCAGATAAACAATCAAACAGAAAACAATACCCTAATCAAGGAAAAACCAAGGAGAAAATCAAACACTCACGAACATTGGCAAGCCAAGATATTATATATAAACAGGGAACAAACCCCACACCCACTAGCACCGATGATGCTACCTGGTAGGATAATGAAATATCTGCAAGCAAACAACCAAGCTTAGAGAGCACCTTCAAAAACCTTTTAATTTTACAGGCTTTCAACAGGTTGACTTAATTTGTTGTTTTGAGCTACTGATATTTTCTACTGCTCTTTATACAATAATGTTTTTATTATTAAATATTTAGTGTTCTTTTGCTGATTGGTTTAAAAGGTATACATGAAAACAACTATAAGCCACTTCATAAGATAAATATATCAGACCTAAGTGGCACCCTAGAGGGCTGAATTGGTCAATACTAATGCATAGTTCAGCTTGCCAAAAACAATAGTAAATAAAAGACAGACTGTTCATCCAACAGAATGTTCTCTTACAGTACCTTTGATGAAGAACTTTCTTACTTCTCTATAGGTTTGCATGAGTACCTCAATATTTGGCTTTCAAGATCAGGAATGCTGAAGTGGTCACCCTCCTAATTTCTTACAGCCACAACCTCTTTTCATGAAGTTCCCTTCTCCCTCCTGCACCTCCTTCCCATCCAGGAAACTCCTTAACCATAAACACAGGAAATCTTCAACTAGGCAACTCCAGACAAGATTTAATTACTCCATCAAAACAATGTCATCTTCCATACTGCACACCATACACAGCTGACCCTCTATTGCAATTATCCATGCCTCTCCCAACCTATTTTCACCCAAAACACAGGAGACATAAAAGTCCAAACCTGGCTCTAGCCTGAAGGTTAATAGTTCATGCTCCCCTCCCTTCCCAACTTGGTGACATCTTCAGATTCTGGTGTGGGAATGGGGATGGAGAGCTTCTCTCTTGAAATCAGTGCAGTTATATTCTAATGGTCACATTGTCCCAAGTCACAATCCAGGAATGGGATAACAGGTTCTCTACATTTGCCTCTAAAGCAGGCAAGTCAGAACAAAAACTTCCCCTAACAATTTCAGACAGGAACGAATCCAAACTAAAGCAAGGCTTAATCCTAGTAGCCACTCTCCTGGACCTCCTACAATATATGCCATACCTTCGTGAGTGACTCAGTCTGCTTCATCCGCTGGTGAATTCAGGCTCTGGTGTATCTGGTGAAAAGGCTATCAATAATATAAAACTAATCCAGATCCAGGGATCATTAAATGCGGAGAAAGAACTATAATTATGGTTCCCATGTATTGATTAAATCCAATATTCAGGTTACATATTCAGAGATCTTTTACAGTGATTTAAAGTGAGAAGTACTGGTGTCACCTCCACTCAACAGGGGACTGGGCCAATGTCAGCTTTCTGATGCCCTATTTCAGTTGCTAAATGTTAGACTGCATCTGTCCTCAATCCATTATCCACAGTTGATTGAAAGAAAAAAATGCCATCATGAGAATTTTTGTTCATTTCTCTGTTAACCTCAAGGCTGGATTTATATCTGTGCAGAGTTTGCTTGTAACAACTTTAGGCAAGAAAAACAAAATGCACAGGTACAGTATATGTGGTACTTCACTCAATAGTAGTGATTGTGAGAGAGAGAGTCCTAGTGGACAACCATTTAAAAATGAGCCAGCAGTGTGCAGCAGCTGCCAAAAAAGCCAAGACAGTTCTAGGCTGCATAAACAGAGAGAAAGAATCAAGATCACGTGAAATGTTAATACCACTTTATAATGCCTTGGTAAGGCCACACTTGGAATATTGCATTCAGTTTTGGTCGCCACGGTGTAAAAAAAATGTGGAGACTCTAGAAAGAGTACAGAGAAGAGCAACAAAGATGATTAGGGGACTGGAGGCTAAAACATATGAA